TACTGTGGATAAGTTCACTTACATTGGCTAGGTTTGAACTCAGGTATTCCTGACTCAAGGCCCAGTTCTCTATTCACCATGCCACCTAATGAATACAGTATTCCAGTGTTAGATAAACCCAAAAGATCCCAGCTATGGGGCATAAGAGTTCACTGTTCAACAAAACCTACTGGGAAAATTAAAAAGCAGTCTGGCAGAAACAAGGTATGGATGAATATCTCACACCATGTACCAAGATATACTCCAAAAGGATAAGCAAGACATGAAGGGTGATATCATAATCAAATTAGAGGACTAAGGCAGAAATAATTTTTCAGAACAATAGATAGGAGAAAAGTTCACCACCAAACAAGAGATAGGGAGAACTACAGAAGATAAAAAGTATAATTTTGACTACATAAAATTATTTTTTTTTTTTACAAAACCAATGCAGCTAAAATTGAAGGGAAACAGATAACTAGAGGGAAAAATCTTTGCAGCAAGTTCCTCTGATAAGGATTTCATTTTCAAAATATATAAGACACCGATTCAAATTTATAAGAACAAGAGCCATTCCACAATTAATAAATGGCCAAAGGATATGAAGAAGTAGTTTTTATTTCTGGTAAGTTTCAATTAATATTTTCTGTTTCTTATATCATGATCATTATCCCCAGTGTCCTTCCCCTTCCCAGGGTGCCATCCCATATGAGACATAGTATTTTTTTAGAGAGGAAAAAAAGTCAACCCAACTGATTCAGCATATTGAAAAAGTCAGCACAACGTGCCGTGGGTAACATCTGTGGCCCTCCCTCGCCCACAAAGGGATGTGTTGGGGATTTCCTCTCAATTCTCTTCATTTGATTCCTACCAGATATTTGTAATTTTGTTACATGCACTTATTTTTTTTTTTGGTGGAGGGAGTGTTGTTCTTTCCATTTACACAGTTGCTGGTACTGTGCATCTTTCCTTGACTCTGCTGACTTCCCTCTGCATCAGGTTGTATATGTCTCCCAGCCTTCTCTGTAGTTCTCACACACATCATTTTTTACACCATAGGAATATCCCAGGAAGGAATAATGACAGATGTTGTAAGGACTGAAGGAAAATGGGCAAACTGATGCACTATAGGTAAAAGTAACTGGGAATTGGGCCAGTCCTTCTGGAAAGCAAATTTGGAACTATGCCCCAAAGTGACTACACTTTGCACACCCTCGGACCCCAGTCTGTATGCCAAGGCCCTTATCCCAAAGGTTCAAAAAAGAGGAAAAGGAGCCATGGAGACAAAAGTATTTATTGTAACTTTTTGTGGTGGCAAAGAATTGTAAGCTGGGAAGGGGGTCACCTCTATTGGAGCATGGCTGAACAAATTACAGTGCATGGATGTAAGTACTCTCAGTCAGGGAGACCCTGAAGATAAATGGTGGGGGCATGATAGATGGAACAGTCTGCTGGGGGAATGGGAAGAACAGCGTCCCTCATACAGGTAGCACGAAGGCCACCTCAGTATCTGAGACAGAAGGAGGCAGGAGACAGTGGCAGAAGGCATGTAAGTGATAGGAGATGCTCATGGCAAATGGCCTCCATTTTTTTCAGTGAAATAGGACATGAGGCTCTCAGCTGAGAGGGCAGGAGAAGGGGAGCCCTGGGTAGTTTGAGGACCTGTGGAGGAAAGGGGGATTGTGAGTTAATAGGGAGGTCTCCAGCAGCAAAGGCCTAGTGGAGACTGTATAACCCAGGGATAGGGAACCTGCGGCCTCAAAGCCAGAAGTTGGGATTCAGTCAAAGGGCACTTGAAGACCTAGGGGGCCACAGCTTCCCCATAACCAAAGTGTGTAGCAGATGCAGGCAGCATGGTTTCCTGGTCCTCTCCACCTTTATTCACCAGGACATGAGAGGGATCCAAGACTGAGGCTTAGGGGACGAGGGACTCCACCCAAGGAAACAGCATGGAATTGAGCTGGTTCATCAAGGCATCAAGAGACACTGCAGCCAGTGCAGCAGGGATGGCCTGGGGCAGAACATAGGGGTTTGATAGAGTAGACGTCATGATGTGTGCAGAAGGAGCAGGGTTTAGCATTGGAAAGCAAAGGAAGAGGCAGAATCAGATAAAGGAATCCAGAGTATCATGAGCATGGAAGTGGTGAGTCTGTGAGTGCTGGCAAAATTAAGGTAGGACCATCTTTATGAGCGGGTGAGGTGGCCGGGAGGAGGAGGCTCTGTGAAACAGTAAGCTGAAGAATTGGGAGGCCAGGTGTTTGAAGGAGTATTATGTTGTATGCTGAAGTCCCGGGCACAAGGGCATGACGGCCAGAGATGAAGAGGAAGAGGAGGAGGAAAAGACTGGGAGCCAGGCACTGACCTCACCTTGGAAAGAGGGCACTGTCATGCAGTAGGCTGACAGCAGACTGCTGAATGTTAATTGATTGGTAGTCCATACTGACTGAACCTCAAAGGAGGGGAGGTCACTGAGTGATGAGGGACAGCCTGGAAGTAATGATGAGAAGCAAGCAATATTTCAACTCCTCCACCCAGATCAGTGAGTCTGGGGCATGAGCGAAAGGACAGCCAGTGCTGTGAAGGAGGCCAGGTTGGATGGAAGGAGCCAGGCATCAGCAAGAGGCCGAAGAAGGAGGGAGTGGGAAAGGAAAAGATTTAAGGTGAAAGCAAGCTTGTTGCCTGTGGGGCAGGCATTCCAGAGAGTGGAAGGTCTGGGTAGCTCTGGGGTGGGACATTGTTGGGGTGGGTTAAGGGGAATGGGAATAAGGGGGTCAGGCAATGGGGGAGGGGGCCTGCCTGACGGATGAGGTGGAGGGAACTTGCATTCATAGAGGGCCTGCACAGCCAGTAAGTGTCTGAGGCTGGAGTTTAACTTGGGCCTTCCTAACTCCAGGCCCGGCTCTCTATCCTCCCGGCTGCCTCAAAGAGCTGAGGAGATTCAAAATCACTGGGATGGGGATGGTCTGACAGAGCAGAGTTTATTCATCATGGATAGATTTTCAATGTCCATAGGGCTTTGGCTGTGGGTGGGGTCTTTTCAGAGCCTTCAGTTGTTCAGAAGGAGAGCCTGGAGTGTCAGGAGCTTGCCGGCCTCTTTCCTCTAAGGGAAACACCAGGCTGGAGGTGTGATGGGATGTGTCTCTGGCCCTTCACCTCAGAAGCAAGACAGGGGGGCCACACAATGCTTCTTCCCTTCTGTGGAAGCTGGGAAAGGTGGTTTCAGAGGAATCAGGAAGATTTGCCTGAACTGATGCAGAATGAAGTAAGCAGAGCTAGGAGAAAAATGTATACAGTACCAGCAACACAGAAAGATCCACAACTTTGACAGATTGAAGAACTCTGATCAATGCTACGAGCAGCTTTGATTCCAGGGGATGGGCTATGGAATGTGCTCCATGCTTCCTGATAGACAAGTGTTGGACTCTCAAGAAGCAGAATGAAGGAAACACACTTTTGTGGACCTGGGCGATGCAGGAACATATTCTGCTTGACTGTGCAAATTTCTTTTCAACTGGAGAATGGGAAGGTGGGAAAATAAATGCTTGTTAATTAAAAAAGTAATAAAATTTGGAGCAAAAAAGTGGATTAGCCAATGTCCTCTGGTAGCAGCTCCCCATCACTAGATAGTCATTGAATTGCCTGGTACCTTGCGTGGCTTAATAAGTGGATGTAAACAGATGATTTAGAGATGGGTTTGACTAAATAATCTTTGAAATCCCTTTGAACTTTAGTAGTCTAAGATTTTATGAAATACAAATATAGTTTATAGTTTAAACAGAGACTTATGAAAATGAGCGGGCAAGGGAGGAAACCACTTTCCTTGCCACCATCAACAAGTGCTGGCCAGCTGCCACATCAGGTGGGTGAGCCCAAGAGCCCTGGGAATGGCAATGCCCCACAGACCACAGCCTGCTTCCAATGCTTCCCCACATCCTGGGAGATAACCCTTAGAAAGAGGGAGCCCTGCCAAGTGCCACATACAGGGCAAGTTAGCCAACCTCGATAAAGTGATAAGGCAGCTGAGGGAGAGGCAGGCAGCTGCTGCCACCATACCTAAGTGGAGAGAGCCCAGGACCCGGCACCTTCATCTGCTTCCAGACTCACCCCTAAAGGACAGCTTCACCTGTATCTGTGAACTTGGTTTTAAAAGAGGTCGAGCAATATATTTCAATAAATTTCCTGGTTTCCTCAGTAATCTTCAGCATTTTTATCTTATGCATTTAAAAAGATGATTCTGAGAAGGGTCTGAGGCTGGCACCCAGCAGGCCTATGACACAGCGGGTTAAGAATGCCTGCCCTTCAGCCGCCATCCCTGGAAGTGCTCACAGAGCTGCAGCCTGGCATGGCATCTGCTAGCACTAATGCTCCTGCTGGAGCCAAAGCCCATGACTATGGAAGACACAAAGAACAAAGTACTCAGCAGCAAGGCCAACATCAGAAACACATGTGATCCAATCAGTAGGAAGGACCCAAAAGGAGAGGCAGGAGAGTGCCCGTCCCTGGAATCTTGAGGACCACAAGGCCTCTCTGTCTGACTCAAAGCTGAAACCTCCTGCATGTGTCCACTCCCCACCAGAAGGGATGAAGCTCCCTCAGAGGGGAGGCTGGCCAGTGTTTCTTTTCCTACCCCTGGTGTGTGGCACACAACAAATGCCTTAGTCATCATTAGCAAAGCGGTACCAGCTTGGCACCATGTTTTCTTGGCCAACTAAACATCTATCCTGTCTAGGAAGTATCCTAGAGGGATACAGAGGGAAGGTCACTGGCTCTGCAGCAACAGGACCTGGGTTCAAATCCCACCTCTGACACTTATGATCAAGTCACCCACCTCCCTGGGCCTCAGTTTCCCCAGCTATAAAAGGAAAGGGATAGATCAATAATCCCTGAAGCCTCAGTTTCCTCAGCTATAAAAGGAAAGGGATAGTTCTGATAATGCCTGAAGCACCCTCCAGCTTCTACCCCCCCCCAAGAAAAAAATCAGCAAGACCTATGGAAGAAATGCTTCTTTAATACATGAAAGTTTAAAGTTACAAATACCGAAAGTGGTCTCTAAGAAGAGTGAACACAGAATACAGCGGTGCCTGGACTTCACAAAAATAGGAAACAGAGACCCTTCTTGGGAGTTTCTTTTTCCTTCATGTTGCCTGAACTGCTGTCTAAGGAACAGACTGAGCTATGACCACGGCACGCCATCAGACCACTCCTGCATGTGTCCATGGAAGAGAAAAAGGTCATAGGGTCATAACCACAGGGAACATATTTATAAGGTTTTGTTAAAAATTCCCTTTTGCAAGAGCCTGGTTTCTTGTCTAGAAAACACTTAACATATAGACCTTAGCCAGAAACAGTAGAGATTTGCCCAAGTGATTCTGTACGTGACTGCAGCCCCCTAATGCTTTTTTAGCCTTCCAGAGAAAGAGGCTATAATATGTGGACACTTCCATTGCAACCTCTCCTGCCCTGAAGCCATCTGCCCATTGAGGAGGTCTGAGGGTGGAATGGTGGTGCTTAATTGCCCTGGCCTGCTGAGGAAGCCCTCTGGGGCCCCTGCATCCTTGAGGGAGCCCCTGCTCCAGCCTTGTGCCCCTAGGGAGTCTGTCAGGGCTGTGCCTCAGAAGGAAGATGTCGCATAGGAAGGGGAGCTAGAGCTGGTGGAAACCTAGGCCCACAGCTTTCCTATGACACACAGAGGGATGGAAAATGAGGACACCAGCTAAGGTGGCCTTCCCCAGGATGCGCAGACAGTTGCACAGAGCTCTTCAGAGTCCAATAGGGACAAACCAGGCCAGGATGTTTGTTACAAGGAAGATGATCTCTACCCAACTCACACATTTCTTAGGCATCCTTAGCTGCCCTCTTACCCTAATAGAAACCTGAGTTCAGGGGCCTGGGGGCCTAAGGCCAAGGACTGGCTTGTTCCTGCCAGGGGCTGGCAGGGACTTGGAATGGTCCCCCCTCACACTACCACGTAAGTCATTCTCTTCCCATTGATGCTTCTGGTTTTAAGCCCCAAGTACCGGTAGCTTTTATTCTCTGGATGGCCATAGAGTATGTCAGTGAAGTAGGCAGGCTCCTCGTGGGCGGGTGCCCTGCAGGTGAGGAATCGGAAAAGGTTCCTCATCTTGTGGAAGAGGTAGGTCGCTGCCTCTGCTTCTGCTGCTGGCTCCTCATACACAAGCTGCTTCATCTCCTCGTAGGTAGACAGAATCACAGCCTGAAACAGGTTAATTAAGACACAAATCATCACCAGCATAAATGAGGACAGGAACAGGCCCCCGAGGACCTGCTTACTTAAAAATGCTGTGTCCTCGAAGGCCGAAACGCAGTAGGAGACAATGGTCTGGGTGGAGTGAATGATGCTGTTATAATGCCATTGGTGCTGGCCAAACACGAGGTAGCCAAAGACCACGTACACAAAGATGTACACGCCTACCAGGAGGGCCATGTGGAAGATGCCCGGCAAGGCTGCCAGGATGGCTTTCTGGGCCAGCCGCACATTGTAGAAGAATCTAGAATACATCAGTGTCTTCAGAATGGTCAGAAAGACCAGGAATCCCAGAGTGATGCGAAGTACCTGGTCCATGTGAGAAATGGCATGAAATGGGGTGAAATCCTCCGAGTTCTTGAGGTAAAAGCCAAGAATTTCCTTGGCCATTCTGAGCTGGATGTACAGAAGCAAGATAAGGAAGAGAAACATGGACTTGAGGCCAAAGCTAAGGAGATTGAATACATTCCTGACATAGTTCTTCTTTTCCTTGTGGATGGTGATGACTTCCTCCACCAGATACACCACGATAAACACCACGGCAGCTCCATACAGATACAGCTCTAGCCGACTGCGCCGGTGGAACAGCGGCAGACAGAACGAGTGGACGGCCAAACTGGGCTCGATGACCCCCAACGGGGAGAATTCAAATACCACCGAAATGGTACAAAATAAGCTGGCGTCCGAACTAAAGGTGGTCAGTTCCAGGATCACAGCCCACGTTCTTTCATCAAGCCACCCGCTCTCCTGAAGTTCCTGCAGCCTTACTGTCGAATTGTACTGCTGCTGGTCAGGGAAGAAATAAAACGGGTACCCCCCCATTCCGTAGGCATGAGCCAGTCCATAAGAATAATAGGCCCATTTGCGGGGCTTTGGCTCGTAAGTAAAGCTGACCGGCCTCAAGTTCACAGAAGAGTCAGTGGGGGCGGCCCAAAATCTCCCGTAGTTTTTCCCATCCTCCATGTATGGGCTGTATCGACGCTGACAGTGGATGCCCTTTTTCATTAACCTATTGGCGGTGGTGCCGGAGAGGAAGCAGGACTTTCTGATAGACTTTGCCCTCACTTGCCGCATCCTCGGCAAGCCAAGAATCCTGGACCAGCTATTAGAGAGGAAAGTTGGATTCTGGCTGTTGTGGATCAAGGGAAGCAGGACACCGGTGAGCCACCTGTAGGTGTCATTTGGTTCTCTGACCTTCTCGAGGCTGGTGGAAAACTGACTCCGGACAGCCTGGTTATGGTGGAAGCTGTGGGAGTGCCCAGTGAGGGAGGCGATGCACAACAAAAGAGCGAGGAAGATGAAATGGTTGACGATGTTCCGCAAAAACACGATGGCTCTCTTTTTAATTCTCTTCCTCCTCCGGAATATTCGGATTTCATCTTCCACCAAGGGTTGGTACATTCTCGTGCCGCGCACCCGGACGATCTCATAGTGCAGCTCTCTTGCATCGTCAGCATCCAAGTTCAAGCCCTGCAGTCGGATCTCGATGTAATTGTACCTCGTGGTCCACGGGATGTTCTTACAGTACTTGGTTCTGCCTGACCTGATGCCGGCCAAAAGCAGGATCTTGGCCACCTGGATCACAAATATAGACTCGCACAGAGAGGACACCGAGGCAAACAGCCATTCCATGGACTTCTGGTATCCGTAGGTTAGCCCGTACATAATGATGAAGAAGGAGGACACGCCAGAGCTGCAGATGACCAGGAGCCAGGCTATGTAGACACACCACCAGTACAGGACAAAGCGAGGCCTGGCTTCAAAGAGCATCACTTTCTTACGCCTCCGTCCAGGTTGTCGACTTGACTTCTTGACTTGCTCTGACCCCTGTTCTACTACGTTGGAGGGCGATGAAATCAAGGCCCCACCCCCTGCTTTTCCGGAGGTCTGACCCTTCCTCTCCTTGGCCTTTGGGGCGGAGGCGTTCTGTTCTGGGGAAACTGCTGCCTTAGGCTGGAGCCTAGAGTTGGGGGGCTTCCCCTTTGTTTCTGTGAGGGCGTTGGCCGCTGCCTCCGGAAGCATCACGTTGTTCCCCGGAGCCTGCTTTTTGGCGGGGACACCCTGGCCCTGAGCCTTCGGCTCGGCAGTCTCGTGGTGGTACCACATCTCCAGGCGCTCCTTCCAGTTGCGGAAGTCAGACGTCATGAAGGCGTGAAAGCGAGGAGCTACCTGTGCTGCAGGCACCGCGCCAACCTTCTTCTGCGAGTAGGTGAAGAGCGCGCTGACAGCCATCTGTAGCGGCTCGCAGATCAGGGCGCTTTCGATGCCTCTCATCAGCCCCCGCAGATGCTTCAGCTCCGCGGACATGGCCTCCGCCTCCGCCTCCTCGTCCAAGCTGAAGAACATGATGTTACAGAGCAGCGTGCTCAGCAGCAGGGTCAGGCAGCAGGACAGCCGCTGCAGGCGGTTGAAGGGCTCCGTGACCACGCTGGAGAAGACCGACAGCCAGAGGTGGCTGGTGCTGAGCAGGTTCGAGGCATGGATGAGGAAGTAGTCCTTCCTGTGGAGCGGCTGCGTCTTGTCGGCCGCCTCGAAGGTCTGCTCCAGCGACTCCGACTCCACCGAGAGCCACGAGCGGCAGAGGAAGAGCCAGATGCGCCGGTTGAAGATGTTTTCGACCTTGACCCGGCTCAGGTACCAGCTGGGATGACTGCCCTCGTTGTTGTGCCACACGCGGATGGCCCGGATATCCCCCAGGTCGTTTCGGGTTGTCAGCAGGAAGGTGTCTGTGCTGCCCCGGTAGAAGGTGGTGAAGTCGGGGTGACTCAGGCAGTGCACGTCGCTGGACGCGTCCGACCCGAGGAGCTGGAGAAAGACGTCGGCTCGCGTGCCAGCGCCCAGGCGGCTCCCCGTGTAGAAGGTGACCAGGTAGCAAATGTGATCGTAAGGGTCGTTGTCAGGCAGGATGATCACGTGTTCCCGGAGAAACCTGTCCGTTTTATCTTTGTGTATCGCCCAGAAAGCCAGGACCAGGTAGGTGAAAAAGATGAAGATCACGGTGAAGAGGCTCACCGGATTTTGGGGGACGGTCAGGATGACCACCGGGCGCAGGTCAATGTTGTTGGGGATCACCACCATTCGAGCAGTCAGGTATTTGATCCTGGACCTGTGGTGCCAGGGCTTCCTTAGTTTGGGCTTGGGCTTGGGCTTGGGCTTGAGGTGACAGATGCAGTGCACGCGCCACCAGCTGATACCATCCCCCACCGCGCAGTCTTTCCTTCCCCACTCGGATTCAACGCCATCCATGTTCAGACAGTGCGCTGCGAAAACGGAAATCCTCACCAGTTTGTTATTCGGCTTCATGACGATATGAGGGGATTGCACGACCACGGAGAGGAGCCACTCGGCTGAGTCGCTGCCTCGGGCAGAGGCCTGCAGCAGAGACTGACTGAGGCAGAGGAGGTAGGGGGCCTTGACTTTGCAGGTGGGATCAAACAGCTCTCTCTTGTTGGCCACCGGCGGCATGTCGGGGGGGATTAAGAAAGAAGCGATGGGGAGCGTGTGGGTGACATTGCTGCCCACGTAGAGCCAAGCCTTGAAGAGGACTTTCACTTCTGTGATGATGTGGATAAATACCTCCTTGTAGCCTCCGTTCGCCACAAAATTAAAGACTCCTGTGGTCATTTTGAGGCCGTCTTTATCGGGTCCCATGGTGAGATTAAAGACAGCTTCCTTCAGGTTTTTTCTAACGATAAATGCTTCAACTACCTCTGGTTCGACCTCCAAGAGGTCCCCATTCTCTGTGGTCTCACTCATCTTGAAACCAACCACATCTACGGAGAGGCTTTCTTCTTGGCTCAGCCAAGGGAAGGGGTCATCCTTAAACTCATAGAACACAGTGGAAATGGGGCCTTGCCTCTCCAAATCAGTGACATTACTTTTTCTCAGTGTTGGGTAAAAACAATTTTGGCAGTCTTTCTTGGCCAAGAAGGCCCCTATGACATTTTGCTTTTCCTCTTTCTTGAAGTGCACTTTGAAGTTTGGGGTTGATATGACTGTCTCCATCTCCCCAGGTACTTTAATAGACGATACTGTATCTGCCAGCCACCCCACGACATAGAGAGTTTCATTAACTATATCCTTGTGAGTACTAGTTTTGAAGATATTAGACAAACTGGTTGAGATGCCAACACTCACAACTTCTATTTGTTCAGAGTGGAAATGTTTTTCCCTTTGCCTGTATCTCTGCAGTGCCAGGTTAATTTCCATTAGCCTGTGGATGGCCGCCTTCTGCACAGCTGCAGTCAAGCCGGAACCTTCCTGGGTGAGGACCAGGATGGTTATCGTCACTTGGCTAATTTCCACCAGGGTATTGGTGGGCAGGTGTTTGCTAAAATTGATGAGGCGTTCCTGGATCTCAGTGTAGTTTGTTTCGAAGTCGGGCAGAGGCTTCACATCCTTTAAAACAGAAGCCACCAGAAAGGCGAGATAGCCTGCTTGGACAAAGTGCCCCTGTTGAAACAGAGTGGTCAGCATTGCATCAGATGAATTCTGAGTGAGGCTGAGCAGGTGACCCAATACGGTATTTGGCGAATCTTTGTCCAGGGGAGAATTCACAGTGGCATACAGGGTCACTTGGGAGAAGGCACCGAGAGAATCATAGACCTGAGCATATATTGTCACCAAGTAGTTATTGGCTGGCATCCCGAGAGGAAGAAAAGAAGGAGGAGTCACAGGCTGAGCCCCAAAGTACATCACAGCCCCCAGAGTATTCTGCTCTAAAGAACTGATGTAATCCACATCCCAGAAATTGGAAGCTATGATTTTAAAACTGAGAGGTAGATTAAAGTCTCTAAAGTTGCTACATTGGACAACAAATTTGGTCACTAGGGCTGCGCCTTTGTCAGGGTGAACGTTGCACTGGCCAATGTGAGGTGGAGAATTGATATAAAAGGAATGGTTAGAAACTGAGAACCCTCCCCCCCAGTTTGACACCCTTAGAGAAATGAAGCAGAACTGGTCTTGAAAACCTTTAAAAGCAGAAGCTTTGATTGACAAGTAAGGGTTGCTTCTCCCAGTGGTGGTCTGACGGACCCAATCAAATGGGATCTCCTTCTTTGAGACAGAAAAGAGTGACCAAAGATAGTAGACAGTAGCTGATCCACAGTCTGTGCACTTTCCAGACAAGGTAAATCGATCTGTGATAATTAAGTTATTTTCACAATTTTCAATGCATGAAAAGCTTGTGGCAGGTGTGGGGCCAGCAGTCACAGTGACCCTCTGATCAGCATACGCTTTCCTCTCATCCTTCTGAACCACCAGGCGGAAATAATACACCTGGTTGCCTCGGAGTGTTTCTGGTAACACGGTATGCACGGGCCCAGATTCCTGAATCCACCTCAAGTCTGGCAGCTGGGGAAGGCAAGTGTCTGTGGTGGAGGCAGGCTCGATCACAAACCTAAAGTGGGACCTGTTGGTGGTGCAGTACCACCTAAAGTCCAGGCCCTCAGAAGGGTTGGAATCAGGGTTGCTGGAATCTGAGGATGCTGACCCATTCAAAGTCCAGCTCTCGTTGAAAGCCACCTTGCGGAGGTACCCTTTCTCAATGATGGCTTCTAGAAACGACCTTTTAGTAACGGAAAGAAACATATCAGCAGAGGCTTTTAGCTGCTTCTTAGCCGTGGTGACAGTCACGGAGAAACGCACCAAATACAATCCCTTTACCAAGGTTCGCTCGGGAACGAAGAAGATGGAAGAGTGCTTCATTTGTTTGGTCCACCACGTCTCCAAGGGTCTGTTCCAGTTTGGAGTGGTGTTTACATTGGGGATGAGGTAGAAATTCCAGTCATGCTTCACTTTATGGGGGATGCTACAGTTGACCCGCACAGCAGTATTAATGGTAAAGGGATACTGTGCATCCATTTCTACACTGTCACCCTCCTTGATTCTCACCTCCTGGATGAAACAGGGGTTCTCAACGCAGGCTACAGTAGACTTGAGCACTTTGGAACCGTACATGTCCAGAGAGGCTTCTAAGATGGCTGGCTCCAGACTGTTTGTGGAGCAATCCGCTTTCTCCATGAAGCCTGCATAGACATCAGGGTGGAATGGCAGGACTGAACGAGGAATGAAGCTGGAGGCTCTGGGGAGCCTGTCCCGATAAGTATACGTCCGGTTGTGTCTGAGGCTGGTCCCAGGGAGATGGAGGTGAAAAGTCCACTGGATGTGCAGGAGAGGATGTTGTAAGGGGATGAACCACACCAGGTAGACGAGCCCATGGGGCCCCAAGGGGCCGCTGTTGAAGAAGTGGACTTCCAGGTCTTTGTGGGGTCTGGTCCCAAAGAAGACCACCCCTTTGGGGCTGAGATAGAGGTGCACACTCAAGTGGTCACAGTGACTCCCAAGAAAATCCAAAGTGAACAGCCAGGACAGGCCTTGCTGCTGATAAAAAAGGAGATGGGTCTGGGACTGCTGGGCACTGCCAATGCCTGGGGCTGCCCTGGAGTAATAGACGCCAGGACCATAGGAGCCCGTATGAGCCTGTTGGAGATTCAGGTGCAGAGTACTGCCCCTCACCCAGATGCTTAGGCTGCTATTGACTAGGTGCAGGTGGCCCTCCAGGGCCTGGCTAATGACCCGGCAGGCCCCACGGTCCCATCCCCAGCCTGGCAAAGGGAGGTGGGCCAGTGTCCAGCTGGGGTCTCCTTGGCCATGAGTATTGCCAGGAATGCAGGAGATGCCACCAGCCTCAAGATAAGGGTTGCAGGTCACTTTCCAGGCCTGGCAGAGGCCACAGCCCCGGGGCTGATACAGCCTGAAGGTTAGCCTGGATCCTATGGGTTGGAGACCCCAGGAGAGGTGGAGGGCCGAAGAGGGCCTCTGGGACAGAGGAGAGGAGCTTGCACTGAGAACGTGAAGCAAGGCAGCCTCGACAGGCCTCCCAGGAATGGAGCTGGGACCTGATCTGGGTTTTAATTGGAGAGCCAGGCGAGGGCATAGGGCACCCTGGCGACCTAAGCCTAGGCTGGCCTTAGGGACTAACTCAAGGCCTAGAGCCAGGTCCCATTTGGAGGCCCCACCTGAGGAGGCCACAGGATCAGGGCCACGGGCAGGCTCAGAGGCCCGGCCTAAAGGGAACCCCAAATAGGATTCTGGGTGAGGGGCCGGGGTTAAATTGGAAAGGGGCCCGCGAGAGGACGAACGGAGAGCTTGCAGGCATGGGTGGAGGCGCTGCCTGGACGCTGGCCCGACTGGAGGTGGAGGAGCCGGGGCAGAGCTGGGGCAGCGCCTAGGAAGTGGGGATGGTGGCAGCAGCGGCAGCAGCGGCAGCGGCAGCAGCGGCAGCAGCAGCAGCAGCAGCGAGAAGCGAGCGAGCGCTCCTCCGGGCAGCATCCTCCCACCTGAGCTGGCTCCGCTCGACCCCGAGGCGCGGGGCCAACGTCCGCCACCCGCAGATCCTCGCTCGCTCGCCCCGCGACGAGTGTGTGAGAGAGTGCGCGCGAGTGTGCGTGCGTGCGTACGGGTGTGTGTCTGGAGGAGACTCGTTCTCCCCGAGGCTCGCGGTCCAGAGCACCCGCTGGCCAGTGAGCTCAGCGCCCATTTCCACCAAGGAAAAACTGAGGACTTCAGAGGCCCGCGAGGTCAGCACCCCACTGGTCTATACCAGCAAAGAAGGAAAACCTCAGAAATCCAAGAGCCTATCCTCCCGCCCTTTCTACGCCGACCAGGGAGTACAGCCCCAAACCTACAGACTGAGAAACGGAGCTGGAGAGTAGAGGGGGGCTCAGAGACCCTTCCCCCACCCGAAAACCCAGCTGACCAGTCCACCAAGGACCCACGAGGAAACATACTATCACCTCCTGACAGAGATGGGGTGCAGAATAAGACTGTTTATTAACACGGCCCATGAGGAAGTTGATTTTGCTTGACTGTGTATTTATTACAAGGGTTTTTGGTTTTTTAAAGGGGTGAGGGAGTGGGAGGGAGAGAAAATGGATTTTTGTTCATTGAAATAAATTTCATTTAAAAACAGAGTCTAGATCTTTTGTTTTTCCGAATGAATGTTGTTATTATTTTATCAATCATTGTAAAGTATCCCCTTGGTAATTTGAGTGCTTAAAAGTGTAAATTAATTTTAGTAGTATTGCCTCTCTTCTTTAACCAATACCAGATGATTTTAATGATGGCTGTTTTATAATGTAGTTTGAGATCTGGAACTGCTAGTCCTCCTTTATCCCTGTTTCTTTTCATTGATTGGAGTTGTTACTGTTTTCAGAATGGTTTGCTTTACATGTCATTATTGTATACGTTGTTTTCCTGGTTCTGCTCATCCCACTCTGCATCAGTTCATACAAATCTTCCCAGGTTTCTCTGAAACCATCTTCTTCATCATTTCTTATGGCATCTCATTTACACGCCACAATTTGCTTAGCCATATCCTAATTGATGGTTACTCTCCTAGTTTCCATTACTTTGCTAAAGCAAACAAACAAACAAAAAAAAACAAATAGGAAGGATGCCCGCTTTCCCCCTATTATTTGCTATAGTTCTGTAAATGCAATGTAAATAGTAATAAGACAAGAGAAAAGAAATAAAGACATAAATCTAGGTGAAGAGGAGATAAAACTATCCTTATTTGCTGACAATATGACGGTTTACTTTGAAAATCCTGGTGAATCAGGAAAGACAAATTGAGACAATAGCTTTAGCAAAGTTGCAGGCTATAAAATAAATCAACAGCATTTCTATCTAATAATAACAAAATATAAGAAGTAATAATAGTGAAATTCTATTCCAAATGTGATAAAATACATAAAATAGCTGGAGACCCAGTCTCCCAACCTCCCAAAGTGCACAAAAGGCTTGTATGGATTCAGTTACAAAGTGTTCTTTAGAGAAATAAAGAACAAGGTGAGCAGCCAGGAAGAAGCGAGGCACGGACCAATACCTTCCACCACACTTCATAATACATTCTAACTGGATATAAAACCTTAATATTAAAGATCATAAAAAAAGGAGAAGAGAAACAACGTATTTCTCTCCCATCCATGAGCAAGAGACGGCAGCAATTACAAAAGATGAAACAGATAACTTTGAGTACTTGAACTGAACAGTTTTTGTATGGACAGCATTAATGCATCTAAGATAAGGAGTTTAAGTGGTCAAATGGGGGAAAAATCTTTGCATCAAATTTCTCTGATAAGGGTTTGATAACCAGATCTATAATTTATAAATATATATTTACATATATATAAATAATAACCATTCCCCAATAGGGAAGTGGTCAAACAGGTCTCAAAAGTGTTCACTGCAGAGTGTTCACAACCAAATAGAAAAGTGCTCCAAATCACTAATACTAAGAGAAATGCAAACCTGAGCAACCCCGAGATTTCACCTCAAACCCTGCAAATTGACAAAAATGATAAAAAGTGGCACCAGTCAGTGTTGGAGGGGTTGTGGAAAGATAGGCACACTAATACATATGTTGGTGGAGCTGTAAAATGCTACAAGTATTTTGGAAAGCAACTTGGAATTCTGCAAATAAGGTGCCTAACACGTCCAAACCCTTTGAACCAGAGATTCCATTACTGGACTTTTATCCCAAGGAAGCCGCTAGTAAAAAGGAAGTGCTCATGGACCCCAAAAGATTTAGAGCAGCACTTTTTGTGATAGTGAAGAATTGGAAACAAAGTAGATGCCCATCAATTGGGCAAACAATGGAGGCACATGAATGTAATGGAATATGTGTGTGATGAACCAGAGAACCCTGAAGAGCTCGAAGGGAACAGATGCAGAGTGAAGTCAGCAGAGCCAAAAAGCAATCGGCCCGGTGACTACCCCGCTGCAAATGGAAAGAACAATACCTCAAAATCAAAGGTAAAGTTAAATAAGGAGACCTGGGAAGGTGGGAGGTCCACAGGCATTACACACCACACGCGGTTCTGGACTTTTAAAAAATGCGTTATCAGCTGTGCTGGCTTTTTTTTTCCTCTCTAAAAATACCATTTGTCTCATGGGATGGCTCTCTAGGAGAGGAAGGGAGGGATGCTTGGGGTACGATGGTGATATGAGAAACAGAAGATAAGGGGCAGCTAGGTGGCGCAGTGGATAGAGCACTGGCCCTGAAGTCAGGAGGACCTTAGTTCAAATCCAGCCTCAGACCAGACACTTGGCACTTACTAGCTGTGTGACCCTGGCCAAGTCACTTATCTCAATTGCCTAAAAGAAAAAAGAAACAGAAGATATCAATAAATGCTTATTGAAGAAAAAGAAAGCGTCCCAGCCTCCATTCACCCAATAGGCATTCATTAGATGTCCAGCGTGTACTAGGTGCTGGGGGACACAAAAGAAAGAAATAAGGCAAAGCTGGTCCTCAAGGAGCTTCCCTGCCGTCAGGGGACCACGGGAATGCAAACCATAAAAATCCTTACATTCATAAGAATTTGGAGCGGGAGGTGGGATGGGGAGGAGCCACGAAGGAGGGGGCCCTCGAGCTGAGCTTGGAAGGGAGCTAAGGGGGGCCATAGTGCATAGAGAGCGCTGTGAGGTCAAACCGAACTCAGGCACGTGAACCTGTTTGCCTCGGTTTCCTCATCTGTAAAATGGGCTGGAGAGGGAAATGGCAAACCACTGCAGTATCTCTGCCTGGCTCAGAAAACCCCCAGTGGGGTCACAGAGGGTCGGACACGACTGAAATGACGACAAACGTGTGTCTTATCTCATGCCAATGCGCATGTCACCCACCTCTCCCAGCCCCCACCCCCGGCTACCTCGCAAGTGCAGCGCCATCCCCGCCCCTTCCACCCCATATCTACCCCCTTCTGCCCCACCTCATCAGCAGCCCCGCCCCGCCCCGGGCCCCCCCATCCCCCCACTGGCCCCTGTCCCGCCCGTCTTCCTCTGGCCCTCGCCCCGCCCCTCCCGTGACCCTGACGAAACCTCTTAGCCCCACCCCCGACTCAGCCCCGCCCCCTGGCTCTCCTGGTTGCAGGACTCGCCATGACCTCGCTGGCCCCGCTCCGAGACTGCCAGGTACCGCGCCCCCTCCTCCCCCAGGTGCTGGCTTAGGGGTGGTGGCCCCAGGCCTTTCCCAGCCTCGACACTGGCCCGAGCCCCTATCCAGGCTACTCCCCAGCCCCCCTCCTCTGTCCAGCTGCCCCCAACCCCCCTCCTCTGTCCAACTGTCCCCTCCTCTGTCCAGGCCAGCCCCCATCCCCTCAGGTCCCACCCCCCACCAGCCTCCCAGCCCCCCTCCTCTATCCAGTTGCCCCCCAATCTCCATGCCCTCTGTCCAGTTGCCCCCCCAGGCCTTCAGCTATCCAGCTGCCCCCAGCCCTCTTTCTGCCCAGCTGCCCCCTAGACCCCCTTCTCTGTCTATCTGCCCCCCAGCCCCTCTCCTCTGTCCAGCTTTCCCCCCCCAGGCCTTCCACTATCCAGCTGTCCCCAGCCCTTTTTCTGTCCATCTGCCCCCCAGCCCACTTCTCTGTCCAGCTGCCCCCTAGTCCCCCGATTTCCCCCACTCTCTGGCCAGCTCCTGTCCTCCCTCCCTGCCCTCCCCCTGCCTTGGGGTTCCCCACTGGCCTCCTCTCAGAGCTCCCTTTCTTGGCCCCTTCTCTCTGTTTCTTGACTTACTCATCTGTTTGTTTTATGTTAAGACTCCAAAGAGGAGAAAATGTGCTTCTTTCTTAGAAAAAAGTGTTCAAGTAGGATTGGAGCTCCAGCCCTTCTCTGTTGTCAGGCAGGCCGGGCCTCTGCCCTCTGGGATCCAGGCTCCCTGTCCTAAAGGGCTAAACCATCTTGGACTGGGAGGAGGCTGTTGTCCCAGCACCCTGTCCAGATTGGTTGTTTTTCTGATGAGATGTTTCACTTTCTCTTCTAGTTGTTCATTCTTTTGATTTGGTGTTATGATTTCTTGGTACCTAGAAGGGCATCAGGAGCCCCTTGCCCGAGTCTAGTTTCCCAGGAGTTATTTCCTTCCTTAAGTTTTTGGTTCTCTGTTGCCAGGTGGTTGACTTTCTCTTCATAATTTTCTTGATTTTCTTGGATTGCTCTTATTTTTTTTTCTAATTTTCCCTCGATCTGTCACTTGATTTTTAAAGTCCTTGTTAAGTTCTTCCAAGAACTCTTCTTGTGCTTGGGACCATTCGACATTTCTCATGAAGAGGAGGGGCTGTTTTAGCTCCACTGTCTTCCTCTAACTATGAACCCAGAGCTTCTCTACCCCTGTGGTAACTCTATGCTTGGCTTCTTCCTCCCTTGCTTGCTTTTTAAAATTATTTGTGTTTTGTTTTATTTTGTTTTTAGCAGCTGTTAGCATAATCGAGTTGTAGTCCTGAGGTGTGGGGGTGATGTCCCTAGCCTCAGGTTCTTCCTGCTGTTATCTCCTGAGGTTGGTCTCTGTGGCCACGCTTGGGCTCTCCTCTCCACTCCTTAACCACGGTTAGGGCCTCCAGCCAGTCCCACAAACGACCTTGCTGCCTGGGGTGGCTGCAAACTACAGCTGTCCTCTCTGCTCCAGAACGGAAACCAGGGACTCTGATGTCCTGCGAGTGCCCGCAGCCGTCAGGGTCCCTGCCCCTCTCTCCTGCACTCATCAGGAGTGGTCTAGCTCCTCCTCCTCGCATCCACAGCCCAGGGTGCATCTGCTCAGCACAGTAGAAGGTCCTTCAATCTTCTGTTACTCAGCGATCAGACCCGCACACTTTCTTCCAGGTGGAAAGGCTGCCTGCCTGCCTTGCCCAGCAACCCCCAGGGCTTGTTTGTTGATTTTGCAGGCCTGGAGGTGTTTGCACTTTGCTCTGGCATAACCTGGCAGGTCTTTCCCAGGGTCTTCTCACACTGTGTTAGGAAGACAACTGCTTTATCCTGTGTTCTCTTTTTTTATGGAGGAGATTTGGAGAGCTGAAAGTTTTCTGACCTACTCCATCTACCATCTTCCCCAAATCCTCTCCCCTCTGGCTTTTAGAAGATCCCCAGGTTGCCCTGTGTCGAGGTGGACAAGGGAAGAGTCAGACTGTGTCCTCCCCTTCCACCCTCGACCAGTGACCCCTCTCGGGACATAGGCTGGCTCCCACCCTGCCTTAGTGGTCTGTGCAGGCCTCCCCCCGGGCAGGTACGATTCTGTTCCCCAGCTGCAGGACGGTCCCTGCAGCATCATCTGTGTTCAGTCGGTTCTCACCTGGCTCCCACCTTCGCTTGGGTGACAGAAGAATGCTCATTGGGGCTGGAGTGAGTGGGGCACCCCCCCCTTTAAGGGGAAAGAAGAATTTGCCCTGGGTGGCTGCCAAGCCCCTGCTGGCCCTAACTGCTGTGAGCTCAGGCTGGCCACACTGACTGTGACCCGCCCACACAATTCTGGCCTCTGTCTGTCAGGTGCTCACTGATGGCCCCTCCCACCTGGCGCTGCCTAGTGTGTCCGGAAGAGTTTTGTTGTGGTCTTGTAAAGACCCATAAAGTGACGCTCCACAACGAGGGACGAACTCAGGCTCCCTCGGCTAAGAAGGGGTAGAGCTGGAGTCTGGCCTCAAGCAGTGAGAGGGACTGTCCCTGTGGTTGCTGAGAATCCTGACCTTCAAGCAGGCTGTGTGCCTTGTTCATATTAAACCTTTACTCTCAAATTCATTTTTTACCTTTTATACAACCCTTGCCTATCTCTATGAGGTATTAGAACAGGGGATGGAAGAGCTGGGAGGGACTCTAGAACCTAGGAGGACAAATCTGGGAGGAGCCTTAGAACAGGGGATGGGAGAGCTGGGAGGGACTCTAGAACCCAGGAGGACAAATCTGGGAGGAGCCTTAGAACAGGGGATGGGAGAGCTGGGAAGGACCCTAGAACCCAGGAGGACAAATCTGGGAGGAGCCTTAGAACAGCGGATAGGAGAGCTGGGAGGGACCCTAGAACAGAACCTAAAATTTCAGACCTTAGAGCAGAGATGGTCAAATCTTAGACCTCTAGTCTAATCCTCTCATTCTATGGAGGAGGAAGCTGGGTCCCAGAGAGGTGCAGGGGCTTGCTGAGTCCAGGCTGTACACCACTCAGTGCAGGGGTCTTGCTTCCCAGGACTAGAGCCTTCCTCCAGGACCACTGTGCCTCACCAAAGGAGATGAGCTTACCTGAACAAATACCTGCCTGGAAAAGAAGTATCTTTGTAGTGGTGGTGGGTTTCTAATGCATGCTTTTCTTCTTTTAAATGACTGAATAAATCCCTTCCCTCTCTCCGGCTCCAGGCTTGGAAGGATGCAGGCCTGCCGCTCTCCACCACCAGTAATGAGGCCTGCAAGCTCTTTGACGCTTCCCTGACCCAGGTATCCCATGGAGAGGGAGGGTCTTTTCTATGCCCTTGGTTTGGGGGGATCTCAGGCTTCCCTACCCCCAACGGTGCTGGTCACTCCGGGAGGCCCCTCCCCTGACTGACACGGCCAGGTCACTGCCCCTGTCTGCCTGAGTCTGGCCCAGTCCCTCGGGTAGCTGCCTGTTGCCTGCTGGGTAAAATTAAAGCTGCATTCTTGGCATTCACAGCCTTCAGCACCTCGAGGCTCCAATCTGCCTCTCCACCAAACGGCAGCTCCCTGCGCAGTGAATGTAGCCTGTCCTCTCCCATCACCATGCCTTTGCCCAGGGTGAAGTGACTTCCCTCCTCTGTCTGTTAATTCATCCTAATTTGGGGGCTTCCTCCACAAAGTCTTCCCTCTTCCTCATCTGATCCCACCCCACTCTCCAGGCCTCTCGTGGGCTGACAGAGGCAGGAGCCCTGCTGGAAAGACCCTTGGGCTTCGAGTCAGGAGACTGGGTTTGGGCTACACTCAGATGTTTACTGACCAGGCTGGATCTTAGAATCCATGACTCTGTGGCTTGAGGGAACCTCAGAGCCATATGCCCTGATCCCCTCTGCTTTATAGAGAAGGAAACTGAGACCTATAGGCAGGTCACTTCACCTTCCTCAGTGCCTCAGTTTCCCCACTTACAAAAGGGTACTATGCGGAAAGTGCTGTCAGCTTGACAGCTTTCTCAGAGAGATCAAGCTCACGGAAGGCCTTGAGCCCCGGAGTCTAGTCAGGCCAGGAGCGACCCCAAGCCCTCTGCTAGTAGGCATAGCATGGGAGGTGGGGCCAGGCTGCAGAGGGCCCACCAGCCGTAGGCCCTGAGGCCCTGGGTGCCAGCCATCTTCCCTCCTTTCAGTATGTGACCTGGACCAATGAAAAGAGTCTCGGCGGCCTGGAAGGATGCTTTTCAAAAATGAAGGCCGCGGATCCGGCATTTGGTAAGGCTTCGGACACAGGCAGGCAGGCAGTCCAGTGTCTCTTTACTCCTTTATGTGAATTACGCAAACCCCCAGACACTCCCTCATTACAAGGAGTACCCAGTCCTGGATCTGGGCCAAGCTCTGGGAACAGAGAGGAAGGCAGGGGGCCTCGCCCTCGGAGAGCTCCCCATCTAATTGGGGAGACTATACAGGGCAAATGAGAAGCCATCCCAGAGGGATGTCCCGAAATGGAGGAGCATTGGGGCTGGTGTGAGCTGAGGGAACGGGGCGAAGAGCACCAGGGGAAATGTCCTGATGCAGGAGACAAAGAGGCCTGGAGAAGGGGCAGAGGGGGAAGGAAGGTGCAACGAGGAATGGCAGGGGGGCCAGAGCCCCTGGGTGATGGGGGGAGGTGTAAGGAGGAGAGCCAGGGGGCCTATGCACCTGGGGCTCCCAGAAAAGTGCAGGAAGAATTGGGACCAGGGGAGGCCTGTCCTGAGGGGTTTTGATGCCAAACAGGATTTTCTGTGATCTTGGAAGAAATAAGGAGTCCCTGGTGTTACTGACCAGTCAGACTTGTGCTTTAAGGAGATCCTAGGCTAGCTGCCCAGGTCCCTGCAAACAGCCTGAGAGAGGCTGGGGATGTTGCTGCGCACAGATGTGCCCTGGGGAGTTCAGAGAGAAGGGGTTACAGCCTGGTGGGCTTTGAGGGGCGGCCCCAGTGCCGTCTACTGTCCCAGCTCAGCTCCATAACCCCTGAAGGCTGTGCAGGTGACACCATCCTTGTGGTCAGCCCCCCGCCTTCCTCCGAGTCTTCCGGACCTCTCCCAAGGGTCCCCAGGCATGTCACGGCTCTTTTTGGGAAATGTGACCCAAGACACATTGGTGTGGACCTCAAGTAGAAAGAGGGGCCCCCACCTACCTAGGAGGACCCCTGGCGGCATGTGGACATAGTTCCAAATGTGGTGTGACCTGCTTTTACTGTACTTCTACTTATTTTGTTAAATATTCCCCAGTTACATTATCACCCAGTTCAGTGGCCCTCAGGAGACCCCGGCCCTCAGATATAATTCTCAGGAAGGAAACCCCCTCTGCCAGTGCTGATCTCAGCAGAGCAGGCCAGGGCTCTTGGAGTTCAGGTACCATAACCACCTCTGGCAGGAAAGCCTGTGACCTCTTCAATCTAAAAGAGAGCTGTCAACACATCCAGAAAGCCAGGTCACAGACCCCCTGAAATCCACCCAAGGATTCAGCTATGCACCCCTGCCTCAACTGCCCGGGGGCAACGTCTCAGCCGCCATTGTCAGGGTGTGCCTGAGTCAGGACCTGAACCCAGAGCTCCAGACTCAGAGGCAGGGGGCAGCTAGGTGGCACAGTGGATAGAGCTCCGGCCTTGGATTCAGGAGGACCCGAGTTCAAATGTGACTTCAGACACTTGATACTAACTAGCTGTGTGACTCTGGGCAAATCACTTAACTGCCATTGCCTCGCCGGTCTCTCTGCTCCCGGGGCCCACTGCCTCTGGTCTGGCCACATCCCTAGGCCAGGGTGTGCATGGCCAGTCCCTTCCTCAGGGATACAGCCTTTCCTGACACATCTCCCTTGTTAGGGCATTGATGGCTCTCAGGAACGTCACTGGACCTGATCTGGACTCGGATTGAGTCCAGAGGGCAGTTCTTTCCAGAGGCAGTGGGTGTCATCTGAGCAGCCTTGCATAGAAGGGCTGATGGGCAGTTCACTCTCAGCCTTGCATAGGACTGATGGGCGGCTCACTCACCTAACTTTAGCCATCTGCCCAGCTACAGTGTGGGGCAGTCTGAGCTGCATCCCCAAGGCCAAGAACCCAAGTTGGGGGAGCCCCAGAGAGCCTGAACTTCTGGGAGCCAGGCCCCACCTTCTGCTCCTCAGTGTCCCCATCCGTGGAATGGGCATGATCAGGCCTGGCCTACCCACGGACAGGAGGAGCAGTCAGTCACCCTTTGTCACTCGTGGCTTTCCATGGCTTTCTTTAGTGATGGGGCACGTCATTGCCAATGGCCTGATGCTCATTGGCACGGGGACCTCCGTGGTATTGGATCAAGCCCTTCGCCTCTCCATGGAGACCATGATGGAGCTTTCCAGGAGACAGGCGCTGACTGAGCGTGAGAAGCTGCACGTAGCCGCCGTGGAGATGTTTGCTAAGGGGTGAGAGGCGTGGGCTGCTGGGGAACCAAGGGGGCTGTGGCCAGCACCCTCTGTGGTCTCTGGGTGTTGTCTGGTCAGAGGAGGATGGTGGGGACGGAGGCCAAGGCGGCTGGGAGGGTCTCCATTGGCCTGGTCAGAGCAAGACAGAAACCGGAGAGAGGATTTGGGTATGGGGGCTCTGCCTCTGCCCGGCCTCACTATGAGGCCCCCTCGGGGTACATTCTCCCTTCATCAAATGGGGGGGGGCTCAGCGACCCCGTATAACCCCTCCAAACATGACATTCTGTGATCTGTGTTCCCATGTCCCTTTCAGCTCTGACCTTCTCTGTTCTCAGGCCCCTCCCAGCCCTGACATCCCCTGTTCTCAGGCTCTCCTAGACCTGACATCCCCTGTTCTCAGGGTCTCCCAGCCCTGACATCTCCAGTTCTCAGGCCCCTCCCAGTTCTGACATTCCTTGTTCTCAGACCCCTCCCAGCCCTGGCATCTTATGACTCTTCCTGGCATAAATATAGGCCTCTCCCACTTAAAGTGATTTGTTGGGGGCTTCACCCATGATTAACTTCAGACCACCATTGATCACCCCCCAGAATCTCTCTAGGATTTGGTTCTGAGCCTGAGCTGGCAGCCACTTTTTGGCAGGCACCAACGAATGCCTACCAAGGCCGTGGCCTCACCACTGGTGGCCCGAGGTTGGAGAGGTCCCTTTCCTGGCATGGCGTGCCGTGGCCCTCCCAGACATCCGCCCTTTGGAGGCTCCTGTGCAGTGTTCTCTCTAGCTGTTATTAAACTAACATGGGATGAAATGGGGACAACAACATGGTGTCTGATTTCTCTGCTGCCAGGTCTCCATGGCAGCCAGGGGACTTACCCAAAGAAAGCCAGCCCTGCCTTCCTCAGAGGCTCAGCCACAGCAGTCCCTCCTCCTGGGACTGGCTTGGGTCCCTTGTCCCTCCAAGCTTGGGGATCTCAGGTGTGGGTGCGCATGGCTCCTCCTCTGCTGAGTACTTGGACTTTGAGAGTTACTGAGGCTGAAAATTCATGCCCCTGGACGCCAGCCTGGGGCCATCACGGCTGGTCTGCCGAAGACCCAGGTCCAGGCCAGGCCTTAGAGCCTTCCCAGCTGGGGGGTTCTGTCAGAGCTCAGGCCGAGGGGCCCCCCCACACGAAGATGAGGCCATGGAAGGAGTCCCTGGGACTGCTCAGCACTGAACGCCCACGGCCTCTCCCCAGCACCCTCTCTGCCTTCCAGGTGCCTTCCAAAAGCTTGTACCTTGTGGGAACAGATTCTCCAGGACTACCCCACCGACATGCTGGCTCTGAAGTTTTCCCATGATACCTACTTTTACCTGGGCTACCAGCCCCAGATGAGGGACTCGGTCGCTCGGATTTTTCCATACTGGACTCCCAGCATTCCCCTCAGCAGGTAGAGGACTCCTTGGGAAGTATCGAGGGGATTTCCGTGGGAGGAAGCAGCTGCCCCTGGGCCAGTAGGAGCCGGATGGCCCTGGGCAGCGGAGTCACAGAGGTGATTCCTGTGTCTGTATGGGAGGTGGTCGGTTAGTCACTGACTGAAGGCCTACTAAGTGCCCACCACTGTGGGGAACACAGGGCCAGTCTCCATTTGCATCCCCAGAACCTAGCATATAGTAGGCACTGAACGCACACTTGTCTATTGACTGATTCTCCTGGGAAGAGGCCACTCGTGTATAGACACATGAGTAAGAAACACAAACATTTGAAAGTAAGTAAGTCATTGTGGTGGGGAGGGGAAGCTCCAGAGGCTTCGATGTCACTGATCAGAGCTGCCTCGCATTCAGACACCTGCACTTAATGCCCCGAGTGCCTGGCACATAGTGGGTGTGGATTGTAATAATAATAATATATTAATAATAACATAATAATACATATAATAATAACATAATAAAAACATAACAAATGCGGACTGATTGGGAAGAGGCTTCTTTTCTTTCTCCCTTTTTCAGCTACGTGAAAGGTATTTATTCTTTCGGGTTGGTGGAAACAAACCTCTATAATCAGGCGGAACAGCTAGCCAGAGAGGTAAAGGCTCTCGCCCAGAGCCATCTCATTCCCTCTTCCTTCTTCTGCAGTGAGAGTGAATAATCCCAGCCGGCCCCACAGGACTGACTTTTCAATTAGCCTCTAGCGTACAGCTAACCTCGAATCCTTGGCATTCTTTCAGTAAATGTCTCTGCAACACCTACTGTGTGCAATGCACCATGCTTAAACACCTACTGTGTGCAACACACCATCTTTGGCATGGGTGGGGGCAGGAAATAAAGGTGAAGAAAGCATCCCCTCCCTCATGGGGGTTCTACAGCAAATGGCACAGGATAGAAGCTAGAGAAAGGAAGTGGAGAGGAGTGCAGATAAGACTGGACTTGGAGTCTGAGGGTGTGGGTTCCGATCCCCATCCAGACTAGCCATGTGACCATAAGCAAGGAGTGTCCCCTTTCATCGGCCATAAGTGGGGAATGTCGCACCACCACTGACCCCTCCCTCCCAGGGTTGTTAGAGATGGTGCCGAAGAAACCATAAAGTGGGAACCATTCTGGGTGGAGTGAGAAAGAGCCAAATGTTGGATGCGTGGCTCATTTGCAGGCTTTAGCCATTCAAGATGGCGCTGGTAGGGATCATTTCCTTCCTCCTTTCCATCCCCACAGGCTCTGTCCGTGAATCCAACAGACGCCTGGTCAGTCCACACAATGGCCCACATCTATGAGATGAAAGCAGAGATCAGGGACGGCCTGTCCTTCATGCAGAGCTCCGAATCCAACTGGAAGGTAAAGGCCCCATTCCCTAATTACTGCCCGAGCTCCTTTAGTGGGCCCATTAAGGGACAGTGACGGGGGCTGGAGGAGAACGTTCTCAATAAATGCTCTGGCTCTTAGGAAAAGCTTGACTGGGGGAGACCCAGTCAATCGAGGCCCTTGCTATTGTGAGTGATTCAGAGGACACACCCGCTGTACACCTCTTACCACGTCTCAGACTCCTGTGCAGCTGGGGTTGGCCCAAAGGCTTTGGAATAGAAAAAGGAATGAAAGAGTAAGCCTTCTGCATCCCCAGTGATGTGGGTGGGGGAACCCTCCCTCCACTGATGCAGATTGTGACCCTCTGCTTTAGGAGATGGTCTTTGGAGGTCTCTGTGGCTGCAGCCCACCCGCCGATGAGCCTCCCTCTTGTAGGGCATGGCTAGTCCTCTGAGAGCAGATTCTCTTGTCCTTCCCTGGCCCTGGCCTCAGAGCCACCCCAGCCTGCCTGGACACAAAACAAGCTTGTTCTTTGGGAGGCCAGGGATAAGGACGAGGGGAAGGAGGAAGAGCACGAGACGTCAATAAAAGAACTAAAATGGGGGAGACGTGCTCCAGCCCAAGAAGGTACCTGAGGTCAAGAAGCAGGAGGGAGGGGCCAGCTGATGAGTGGAGAGGCTGGCTCAGTGAGGCAGGACAGCCCCAGGAGTCCGGGAAGCTGGCCTAGCGAGGCAAGCATGGGCTGCGATCTGCAACTGTGGAGGCAAGGGATGAACCAGGGGCCTGCAAGTTTCGGATCCCTCCCTCCTAGCTTGCCATCCCCACAAACTTATCTGGTTTGTTATGGTCATTTATCTTGTATGTAGGGCAGCTGGAGGGGGCCACGGTGCCCACGGTGCTGGGCCTGGAGTCAGGGAGACCTGAGTTCAAATCCAGCCTCAGATACTGACTAGTGCAACCCTGGGCACACCACTTCACCTCTGTCTGCCGCAGTTTACTCATCTGTAAAATGGGGATCATAACAGCACCAATCTCACAGGGTTGTTGGGAAGAGCAGATGAAATAATCAGTGTAAAAGCACTTAGCACAGTGCCTGCCTCCTCCTGGGTGCTGTATGAATGCGGGTTATTAGCACTGTCATGATTATTGTTATTCCTTTTCCACAAGTGTATATCTGTCTATGAGTGGGTGAGTGTGAGTGTGAGTACATGAGTGTGTGAGAGCGTGTGTGAGTGCATGAGTGCAAGTGTGCATGTGAGTGTGTGAGTGTGCATGCGTGAGTGCGAGTGTGAGTGTGCATGTGAGTGTGCGAGTATGCGTGTGTATCAGTGTGTGTGTGCATGCGTATGAGTGTGAGTGTGTGAGTGCGTGAGTATGCGTGTTTATGAGTGTGAGTGTGCGTGTGCGTGTGTGTGCGCACTTCTGACTCTGCCTCTCTCCTGAGCTCCACAGCCGTCGTTTGCAGCTGCCGGCTGTACACTTCCCCTGCACACAGCAGGTGCATAAGCGGTGCTTGGTTGGTTGACTGACGGCGGGGCTCGAGCTGGCCCACACTGACTGGTCCTCCTCCCTCCGAGCCCTGCTCTCTTCCGTCTGCCTGGCCACTGCTCCGTGCGGCTCAGAACCTCTGCCGCGGCTTCGGTGTGCCATTTCTTATGGCTCTCCCCAGTCAGTCCAGTTGGATCTGATAAGCGTTTGTTCTGCACTTAACTGCATTCGGGCACCGTGCTGGGCACGAATATGGGAGGAAAGAAAAAGGCCACCCGGGCCCCTCCTCTCCTACTGCACAGACTCTCCCACCCCCCAGCTCTCATCAGCCTCCCAAGGGGCGTCCTGCCTCGGCTCTGCCCCCCAGTGCTGGACCTTCATCGAGTCTCCCCGCTGCCTCCAGGATGGCCTCCAGACGCCTTCCTTTGGCTCCTCCCCCAGCCCCCTTCCCCCGCCGTTGCAGGACCCCTCCGACTCCTCCCCACTCCCCGCCTTGTGCCCCAGGATCCTCTCCCAGTGCGTCGGTCTCCCCAAAGTTTCGTCAGACTCTCCTGCCTTCCGCCACGTCTTACCTGAGTGGGGGGCCTCGAAGGACCAGGAGAGGGTCAGGCTTCTCACTGACACGTTTGTTTCCTCCGCAGGACCGCGACATGCTCGCCTGTCATAACTATTGGCACTGGGCCCTGTACCTGATAGAAAAGGTAAGTGGCCCGCCCGGGAGCGCAGCTTTCTTCCTGTTGGGGCGGCTGAGCGTCGCGTCTGGTGCTCAGCACGTGGACACTTCAGGGAAGGCAGCCCAGTGATTCGGGGATCCCAGAGTGAGAAGGGCTCCCCCAGCTGCAGCTGTTGTCCTGGGGTGCCGATGTCAGGGGGCTGCAGCGATGCTCCGCTGCTTTCTCCCGTGGGGAGGGGGCCTCATCCGGCCAGCTCCCCTGCCCCACAGGTGCCCCATCCCGGGCCAGCCTTCCAGCCGGGACCCTCGAGCCCCTCGAACATCCATCCCCTCTTCAGCTGTTCTTTGCTCCATGTGAAACTATTTCTAGTACCGTGTCTAGGTTTCCCTCTCCCACATCTCTGACAGCCAGTCTCCAATCTCAGCGGGGTGGTGAGAGGATGAAGGAAGTGCCGGGCTTGGAACTAGAAGGACCTGAATTCAGATCCAGCCTCGGCACTTCCTAGCCATGTGACCCGTGCAGATCTCTTCCCATCTGTCTGCCTCAATTTCCCCATCTGTAAATGGGGATGATCTCAGCATCTGCCTCCCAGGGCTGTTGCGAAGATCAGATGAGATCCTATTTGTAGATAGGAAATAATAGGAGGTAGTAAGGTATGTTTTGTGTATTCACAATATAAAGTGCTTTGCAAACCCATCCAAATGCTATTATTGTTATTATTACTTGGTTACCTCCAAGTGACAGAGGGCTCCCTAGCTGCTGCCTGAGCTGCCTTCTACTCAACTCCCTCCGAGATTCTAAAGAGCCTCTTGAGAAGTGTGTTCCCAGTGCCTGGCACAGGGTCTGTACACAGTAGGTGCCTAACCAATGCTTGCGGATTCAGGCACAATTTTTTTTCTTTTTGGTGAGGCATCGGGGTTAAGTGAGTTGCCCAGGGTCACACAGTAAGTGTCAAGTGTCTGAGGGCAGATTTGAACTCAGGTTCTCCTGACTCGGAGCCTGGAGCTCTATCCACTTCTCCACCTAGCTGCCCCGCAGGCCCAATTTTAAGGTCACTCTTGGGTCTTGGAATATGGCAGCTGATGTGTTATAAGAGCCAGTTGGTTTTGGTAGGACGGCTGCCTGGGATCAGGACACCTGGGTTCCGGTGCTGTCTCTGGTGCTGACTGGCTGAGCCTAAGAATAAACATATTGACGAATGACCAGTACCCGGTGTCTTTGAGGCTCCAGGCACTGTTCTGGGTGCAGCTGCCCACAGGGAGCTCCTCCTTGCCAGGGGTGAGCTCTGTGAGCCTGTCTCCCCTCCTCCAGGGGGGTAAGAGTGCTGTAGGATTGGAGCTGGTCTGCTCCCCCTCTGCCCCCTCCACACTGGAGGTCACTTAGGAGGGGCCACTCTCAGCACAGAGTGAGCCGATGATCTGCTGAGAGCCCCTTCGCTGATAACTTGTGTCCTGCTGGCCAGGGGCCCCCAGCCTCAGGACCCACCTGTAGCAGGGGACGGTTTCCTCAGCCCAAACCTGCCAGGCTCCGTTCCCTGCCAGACATTGCTGAGATGCCAGCATTGGAGCGCAGCTTTCTGGGGTGAGGGCTTCCCCAGGATTTCTGGGCTTTTCTCCACTCAGCAGCCCTGGAAAGGTTGGCACGAGAGAGAGCCAGCAATTAGCCCAGGGTCACACAGCTGAGACGTCCCCTTGCCATGATTCAGACCAGGTCCTCCCTGACCCAAATCCGGCGTGTTTGACCTTACGCTACAGACAGTCGGCCAGCTGTTAATGACAAGGGGACTCTTTTCCAATCATGTGGGAGGCCAGGTAGTGTGATAGGCCAGGCACTCCCTGGCTAGGGAGTCAGAGGCCCTGAATTCAAGTCCACATGACTCCTGTGAGACCCTGGCTAAGTCCATTCCCTTTGGGGCATCCTCCACTGAACAATGAATCTGACAGACCAGAGGGCCTCTGGGGTCCCCTCTGGCTCTGCCTCTGGGGTCCTTTGATTTCTCAAGAATTACATTTTTCATTTTAATTTTATTTTTCATTTAATTTCTTTGTCAATTTACAAAAGTCTGTTTCTTCTCCCTCCAACCTTGCCTCCACTGAGAAAGGGAAAAGAAAACCATTGAGACAAACATGTGCAATCCAGCACAGCCCACCCTGCCCCGGCCGTGTCCACAGCTTACGTGTCAGTGCCCCCTAAGGCCAGCGCCTCAGTCAGGAAGAGGCCCAGGCCCGGTCAGCAGCCACTTCTCATGTCCAGTCGGACAAGCACCACTCAGAGTCCCTTTATTTTTTGTAGGGTGAACACGAAGCGGCCTTGACGATTTATGATGAGCACGTAAGTCCACATGTCGACCCTGCCCTTTACTCGGGGCCCGGCCAGTGTCTTCTGGGCAATAGGATCCCACCTTGGGGGATGGGCCCCGAGCTATGGGCAGAATGTGCTGGGGCGGGGCTCTCCCCAAGGCCTCCCTCCAAGCAGCCCCAATCACTGGTCTAATGTTGGGGTTCCATTAGTGACATGGAGTTGTACGTACACAGGGCCTCCACTGCATCAGCTCTGTCTTATCCAGAAAGAAGCACTGGTCAATAAAACATTGTGACCCCAAGACTAGGGAGTATTAACACTGCCCAAGGCAGGCAGCCTCTTACTGTGGAAAGAGGGGTAGGGGGCAACCTTGGCTGGCTGCATGACCTTGAACAAGTCACTGGACTTTGGGTCTCAGTTTCTCCCTCCAAGAATGGGTCAGTAAGAGGCTTCCTAAGCCTCTACCATGTGGTAGGAAGGTAGGCGCTAGGACCAGGTTCCAGGTCTGTCTTCTGCCTCCCAGACCACTGGTGTCTTTCCACTGAAAGTCTCGCCCCTTCCTCCCTCTGGCTCTGTTGCCTCATCTGTGAAATGGGGAGAAGGACTCTGTCTCATCCTGCTTTGCAGGGTCGTGAGGAGGTCCAGACAGGCTGTCCTGGATGGTGAGGGCCAGGAGGGCCAGAAGAGGGGAGGGTCCTCTCTGTGGCCAAGCATCCAGTGGCTGCTGGATATGTGTTGGGGAATGAGTTAGAGTCCTTTCTTGTCCACAGAGTTTTCTAATGTAAGCACTGAAGTGCTTACATTAAGCTTTATGAGAAAGTTCTATACTCAAATGAAGCCTCCTGACAGGGTGACAGTTCCCAGAGCACTCAGCCTAGAGTCAGGCAGAGCCAAGTTCAAATCTGGCCTCAGCCACGTACTGGCCATGTGACCCTGGACAAGTCCTTTAACCTCTGTCTGCCTCAGTTTACCCTTCTGTGAAACGGGCACAGCAGTTGCACTTGCGTCCCCAGGGTTGTTGTTAGGATCAAATGAGATGTTTGTTGTTGTTGTTGTTGTTGTTCAGTTTATTTCTCTTTTTAAAAATTAATTTATTGTGATTTATCAACAATCACTTCCACAAGCTTTTGAGTTTACAATTTTTCTCCCCCTCCCTCCCCAGGACAGCACACAATCCGATAGAGGCTCTACATATGCATTCCTATTAAGCGTATTTTCACATTAGTGATGTTGTAAGGAAGAATTAGAACCAACGGGAGGAAGCACCAGAGAGAGGGAACGAAACAAACCAGAAGAGAAAGAAAAGAGCGAATGCTATGCTTCGATCTGCATTCAAATGCCGTAGTTCGTTCTCTGGCTGTGGATGTGGATAGCATGAGATAATGTTCTTAAGGCACTTAGCACAGTGCCTGGCACATAGTGGGGCTAGATAAACGTGTGCTATCATTATTGTCCATTTCACGAGTGTAGATAAGTCCCAGGATGGGAAAGACCTCCACTGTGGCCAGTCAGCACCTCATCTGTAACTTGCCGTCTTACAGAGTCACCTTAGACACAAAAGGTTAGGTGACTTGCCCAGGGTCACCGGCCGCCCAGGGCAGGACTCGAGTCCGAAACGGGCCTTTCTGCACGAAGCTGCACTGCCTCTGTTGGGCGGCTGCAGCCGCCCAAAATGAAGGAGGCTGTCCCTGGGACCTGGACCCTGCTGGGGCAGTGCTTGCAGGGCTCTCACAGGCTCTTGGCGGGGGCTGTGGGGGTCCTCAATGACCACCCTGCAGTCCGAGTTGAAGTGTTTGTGTTGCAGATTGCACCCAGCCTTCTGTCGACTGGGTCGATGCTAGACATGGTGGACAGCTGCTCCATGCTGTACAGACTTCAAATGGAAGGTCAGTCGATCTCCTGCCTTCCCTCTATTTGGTCCTCTCCAGAAACGATCTGGCATCTGGCCTTGGCCTGGTGCCGTCTGACATTCTCATCAATGACTTTGATAAATGCCATATGGCAGGTTTACCCAACCTCCGAGGGAGTCAAAGGAGGGTGGCAGACATCTTGGACACCAGGCCCTCCAAGCCTCAACAGCCTTGAATGTTGGCCCAAGTCTAAAAATATCCAGTTTGACAGAAACCAATGTAAAGTCTTACACTGAACCCAAAATTCAATTTCACAAGTCAATGAAAGTTGAGCTTTGGCTGGGTAACAGTTTGTCTGAAAACGATCCTGGGGCCTTAAGGGACTACAAGATGAACATGAGTCAGCGGGGAAGCTAGGAGCCAAGCAAGCTGGCGCAGTCCTTGCTATATCAAGCTGGGGAGTAAGGGAGGGAGGCAGGCAGTGCCCAGTGTGTCCCATTGAGCTCAGAGAACTACGTTTGAGGAAAGATTTTGCTGCGCTGAAGCTTGACCGGAGGTAGAGGATCAAAATGGGGGGGGGGAGATCCTGATTCTGATTTGTCCCTTCTGTCTGAGCCTCAGTTTCCTCTGTGACCGACCTTCTCTAAATCAGTTCATGTTGTGCGCAGGCGTGCACGTGGGAAATCGCTGGCAAGCCGTGCTCCCGGTGACCAAGCCCCATTCCCGGGACCACATCCTGCTCTTCAATGATGCTCACTTCCTCATGTCCTTCCTGGGGGCCAAAGACCATGAAACCGTCCAAGAGCTCCTGACCACCCTTCAGGAACTGAGCCAGTAAGCAAGCAGGGGCCGGGAGTGCTGGGGGACCCATCTCTAGCCTTCTGCCCCCCTCGTTCAGTGCGCCAGGGGGGAGGGTGAGAGGTCTGGCGGCAGCTCCCGCTTCCTCCTGAGGCTTCCTGATGGAATGGGCAGAGAAGCCTCTTGCTGCGGTTGAGCCCCAGTCAGAGCCTGTCTGGGGGCAGGTGTTCCGGAGGGTGGCACTTTTCAGGCAGGTGCTTGATCCACTGGAGGGTGTCTGGAGGAGGGAGGATGGCCAGCGTGGTGAGGGGTCTTGATTCCATGACATACAAGGACTGGTTGAAGGAGCTCCGCACGGTCAGCCTGGAGTGGAGAGGTCTGGCTGGGGGGAGGGGGGAGCGGTAGCTGTCCTGCACAGGAGGGATTTGCCTTGCTCTGCCTGGACCCTGAGGGCAGAATCAGGCAAAGGGGAGGAAGGAGCAGAGAGGCCAGCCTCAACTCACTGGAAGAGAAGTGTCTGTGACCATCAGAGCTTTGGCAAGAGGGCTGGGCTGCTTCCCAAGAGAGGGAACCCCCGCCCTGGCCATGCTTCTCAAGCAGAGGCCAGGAGGTCACTTAGCAAGGATTTGGGGAGGGGGGCGGGTGTCTTGCCCATTTATAGAACAAACATCAAATGCCTCCCATGGGCTCAGCCCATGTAGGGAAGACATGACCCCAACCCCACTAAAGCTTGCAGCCTCAGGGGAGAAGACAAATACACCCTGTTTACCTGTCCCTCCCTCACACCTAAGGAGTACTACAGAGGAGCAAGGTCCAAGGGAGCAGCCTGATCTTCACGAGAGCCCTGAGGGAGGCTTCCTGGAGGAGGCCTTCAGGGTCTCATCAAGCAAAACCAGGGCAGCAGAGAGGGCAGGAAGGCCCAGGATAGGGGTCCAGGGAGCGTGGCTGGGGTTGGTGGGAGTGTGGATGCAGGAGGGCACCATGAATGCTGGGCAGACTCCTCCTCGGGGCCATCGGGAGCCCCTGAAGGTGTTTGAGCAGGGCAGGGCCCTGGCCTGACCTCTGCAGAGGAGCAGGGCAGGGAGGAGGCGCCCAGGAGACGGGCCATGGAGCCAGAGCAGATGAGGCAGAGCCAAGCTGGGGTGCTGACGATGCTCAGAAGAAGTGGGTAGGGGAAGCGAGGAGGCCCTGGGGCTTGGGGCCTGGGCATGGAGGCTGCCGGTGCCCAGAGCAGGCCGCTGAAAGCCTTCCCAGCCTGGGGCTCTGGACCCCTGGAAGCCTGCAGCCAATGGGAACTGGGGCCCTATTCACGCTGCCTGGCCTGGAAAGACGTGCAGAGGGTGCCCCCTTGTGGCACACGCAGCAGGGACTGGCCGCTTCCCCTGCTGTCAAACCTTGTAAATCTTCTTTTGGGGCGATAGAACCTCCACCTCGTCCTCCCTCGGAGCCAGGTCTGGCAGCCCTGCAGACCCACTCTCTGAGGAGGGGTTCCCTGAGGGGGCAGGTGGGCCAGGACATGCCCATATGGGTCTGGGTTTGGGGGGGTTGGTGCTGGTCTCCATCCCTTCATCTCCCATTCTCTGGCTTCAGGGCAAGCATTTCAACTCGTACAAAGGGCAGGAAAATCGCCCATGTTACAGATATGTGTGGGCACATATGTTATGTATGCACATATGCGCACACGCAATTCCTGGTCAGCCCTGGATGAGGTAGAAAGCCTTGGGCCTAACGGCCAGCTGGGCACCCACCGGCCAAGGACCCTGCAGCCATGGTGCAGGGGCAGGAATTCCCGGCTCAGCACCTACAGGACCCTTTCAGAGGACTAGGGGACCATGGGCTAAGAGAGAACAGGCTGCTTCTGCCAGGTCCATGGAGGGGAGCTAGGAGTACCAGGGAAGGCCCAGAAAGGCAGTTCAGCGTGATGTCTGGAAGCACAAGATCTGACCACGAAAACCATCCTAAAGGGAGATGGGCTTCTGCTGTGAGGGGGGGGGAGGGGGCTTTAGCTGAGGCTGGGGGCTCCCCTCTGAAAGGGGATTCAGATTGGAGTCGGACTGAGGGCTGCAGGGGCCCCTTCCAGCTCTGAGCTTCTGAGCTTCTACACCTACTATCGGCATTGCCAAATCCCCACCAGGATGAAATGGTTCTAGAGCTCTGAGGCTGGCCCAGAAACTTCCCAAGATCCAGGCTCTTACCGACAAGGACACTACTGGGGGCAGGGGCTTCCAACCCTGAGACTGCGGTTCTTTAAGGCTTGTAGAGACCATTGCCCTTGTTTCTCTCTCTGTCTCTCAGTCTGTCTCTGTCTCTCTGTCTCTCTGTCTCTCTCTGTGTCTGTCTCTGTCTGTGTCTGTCTCTCTCTGTCTCTGTCTCTCTCTGTCTCTTCCTCTGTCTCTCCCCCCTCTGTCTGTCTCTCTCCCTCTCTCTCTGTCTCTCTCTCTCTGTCCATGTCTCTGTCTATGTCTCTGTCTCTGTCTCTCTCCCTCTCTCTCTCTCTGTCTCTCTGTGTCTCTGTCTCTCTGTCCATGTCTCTGTTTCTCTCCCTCTCTCTCTGTTTCTCTGTCTCTCTCTCCCCCTTTCTCCCTTCCCTCCCCTGTCTCTCTCTCTCTCTGGCCATGTCTCTGCCTCTGTCTCTCCCTCTCTCTCTCTTTCTGTCTCTCTCTCTCTCTGTCCGTGTCTCTGTCTCTCTCCCCCTCCCCCCCCCATCTCTCTGTCCACCTCTCACCCAGCCAGCATTGGCTTTCTCTCCTTGCAGACACCCCGGTGAGAATCATCAGTACCAGCTGGCTCGGGAGGTGGGGCTACCCCTGTGCCAGGCCCTGGTGGAGGTGGAGAATGGGGACCCGGACAGAGCGGTGGAGCTGTTGCTGCCTATTCGGTACAAACTCGTGGACATAGGCGGCAGCAATGCCCAGGTGAGTGGGCAGGGTCTGCCATCTGAAGGGCAGGACCAGGGAGTGCTGTTTGGTAGATGTCAGATGCAGGAGGGGATTCTGCTTCTTCTTTGTGGCCTCAGAGGAGGGGCCTGAGTGACCAGGTGGGGAGGTTCCAGGGGGCAGGTAGGGAAGAACCTAGGAACAAGAAGAACTATGGAAAGATGGAATGAGTCACCTTGGGAGGTAGTGAGCTCCCCATCATTCGAAGCATCCTGGAGAGGACGTCTGATGCAGAGGAGAGGGCTCTGGCAGGGGAGCCAGAAAGCCTGGTGCAGCTCCTGGCCCTCCTCTTATGGTAGTAAGAGCTGTGAGACCTTGGGCCTGGTCTAGCCATTTCCAGACTCTGTTTTCTCTTCTGTAAAATGGATGCAATAACACTGCACAGAGTGCCTCGCAGGGGAGTTGTGAGGAGAGCTTTGAAAAAATTGCAAAATGCTAGAAATATGAGAAGTTGTCACAGCTGTGTGATAGCCCCTTCCCACCTCCACCTGGGCTCATGGAACATTTTAAGTCTCCATATGCATGACTCTGTGAACCAGAGAGGCCTGGGTTCAAGGGCTGCCCCTGAGGCCTCCTGGCTGGGTGGGCCCGCATATCTCTGACCCTCCTCTCAGGGCCCCAGTCAGCTGGGGCAGATTGGCATTGGTGGAGGGAGCTCCTCACTGGGGACCCCCCAGCAATAGAGCTGGCATCCAGCTGCCCAGCTCGCTCCTAGTTTGGGCGGCAGGGCCTCTGAGCGGGTCCACCCATGTCCAGGGACCACTGAGGCCTGCAGTGAGTGGCTGAGGGGAGCCCTCCTCCCCGGGATTGCTCCATTCACTGATTGTGAAAGCCTCTCTTTCAGAGGGACGTCTTCAATCAGGTGCTGGTTCACGCGGCTCTGAAGTGTCAGCAGAAATCCCACCGGAACCTGGCCAGGTGAGTGATGGGTGCCCCTGTCCCCAGTGGGGAAGCCCCGCCCCACCACTTATCTTGAGCCTCTGGGGAGCAATCACACACATTCCCCCTCTCCCCCAAAGAGGCCAGGCTGCTGTGGGGAGGGAGCCTTGTGAAATTGGCTCAATGACGGATGGTGCAAGGCTGAGCCCCTGGGAATGTGCTGCCAGGTGCTTTCACTGGGCTTTGGAAACCAGGTGAAAAGCTCACTGCGCCCCCGGGGCAGAGGGTCAAGCCGCGGACCGACCTTTGGGAGAGTGTGAAGCTGGGAGCAGCCACTGCGCAGAAGGCCTGGGCTGAGGCTGCGTCTGCAGAGGACACCAGCCATGTCTGCCCTCAGCATGCCTCTCCTCTAATGCGGGTGGAAATGAGCTTGGGGGAGAGGTAGGAACAGATGCACATATAGGACAAGGGGGGACGGAGGTCACTGCAGAGGAGACATCCCTGTGAGGGGCTCTGGGAAATTGGAGAAGGGAGAGGTCTGTGGCGCCCCAGAGGGCTTCCTGGAGATGGCAACTGTGAGGTAGGTCTGAGAGAGCCCGAAGTGGGTTGGGGCCTTAAAGGGGCAAACGTTTGAGCTCTGCCATCTTGCACAATTCCACTTCATCATGGGGGAGCAGGCTTGGCCACATTTCCCTCGTCTGTCTTCTCTTGAGAGCCCAAGAGTGACAGGACTCCTGCAAAGAGCTTTACAAACGTGATATCCTGGGAGCCTCACCCCAATTCTGGGAGGAGGGAGGTGCTATTACTCTCCCCTTGCACAGATGAGGAAACTGAGGCAGAGGAGAATGACTAGCTCAGCTGGGAAGGAACGAGGGTAGATTTGAACTCAGGTCTTTCTGCCCCTAGGCCCAGTGCTCTAGGGTGCCAGGGCACCCCCCAGTGCCTCTAGGTGCTCTATTTGGGGCCCCATAGACCACCCTGGGATGGCTGCTATAGCCACCTAATTTGTCTCAACATCTAGTCTCTCTCCCCTCTAGTCCAGTCTAACAGACCACTTTCCATCAGGTGCTCCAGAATATTCACTGGCTCCCTACTGCCTACAGGCCAGTCAGACCCCTTACCCACAGTGGCCACTCAGTCCCTCTAGCTGTGTCTCATTTGCATGTTCTCTCTCTCTCCCTCCCCTCCCCTCCTCTCTTCTCTCTCTGTCTCTCTGTCTTTCTGTCTCCCCTCCCCCTCTCCTCCTCCCCTTTCCTCTCCCTCTCCCCTCTCCCCTCCCTTCCCTTCCCCTCTTCCTCTCCCCTCCTTTTCCCTCCCCTCCTCTTCCCCCTCCCCTCCCTTTCTTCTCCCTCTTCCCTCCCCCCTCCCTCCCTCCCCTCCCCCCTCCCCCCTCCCCTCTCCTCCACACCCCCAGCTCTTCACAGGCCGGATGCTTAGCTCACTGCTTCTGCCATCCAAAGCCTCCCTCCCTACACCTTCCACTTCTGGCGAAAATCTCCACTTCTTTTAAGTAGAGCCTTGGCTCTCCAAGCCCATCATAGTTTACCCCCTCCCACACACACTGTGGGGTCCAGGGCCGTTGGCCTCCTGGCGACTCCTTGAACAAGACCCTCCATCTCTGGCCTCTGGGTGTTTGTCCTGGCTGTCCCCCATACCTGGCCTGCTGTCCCTCCCATCTCTGCCTACAACACCCCCATCCTACAGAAGTCCTTGGCCAGTCCTCCATGACCTTAATGCCCCTGGCAACTGGCTGTTTGCTCCGTGCCTCCCCAGAGGGCAAGCTCCTTGAGGGTAGAAACTGTCCTCTGCCTTTCTCTGTATCCTCAGCACTTAGCCCGTGCTGGCACAAGGTGGGTGTTTAACAAATGCTTATTTGGACGGACTCACTCTGCCGCCTCCGTCCCAAGGAGCCAGGCAGTGCACCCAAGATGGCCTTGGGCCGAGCCAGCAAGTGACGTGCTCTGTGACCTGTGAGTCATGATGAGCGACCAGGAAAACTCCTGCTGGGGCTGGTACCTGGACATTAGTTTGGACGCCCCTCCCCTGACAGGTGAGGTGGAGAGGCCTTTGATAAAATGACACCCAGAGATCGACATGACAGCAATGGAAGGTGGGGCTTAAAGATGCATCTGGGCCCCCTGCTCCCAAGAGCCATTTCCCACTAGTCACAGGCATGCTGGTGAGGCTGTCGCCCTTCGGGCAGAGGCTTGGCCTCTTCTCATGAGGCGAGGGCCACCGCGGACTCTCTCCTGTGACCAGGGTCAGCGCGGCCTCCGCCCTTCTGAATGTGAACGGGGAGAGGCCCAGTCGATGGGCCCGCAGAGCTCCACCTGATGGCAAATGGAGGAAATACCACTGGCCCCGTTCAGAATTCTCTTAGGAGAGGGTGAACAAGCCCAGGAAGCCTGGATGAAACCGGCGTTGGCACCACCTTGTGGCCGGTGGGCATCTGACCCAGTGAAGAAGGAGTGGCGGATGGAGATCTCATGTCCCCCCCCAGGGGAGCGCTTCCGTGCTTGTGGGAGGCCCCATGGCCAGGAAGCCAGATAGGATGTGGTGTGCTTGTGAAAACCGGACAAAGACTTCGGGAATGGGGAGACCCCAAGCAAGTATATTCCACATTTGTGATACCTACGGACAAAACAGCAAGAGAGGAGAAGCCATGTGACCTTGCGGATGCCAAGCGACAGAGATTGGGGGCGGGAATGCCTGCGATGGTGAGAGGGAAGGCGTGCAGGTCTCCAATGCAATGAATGTGTTAGAGCACAGCTGGGGAGCTGGGACGTTGACCGGAACCCACCCGGACCCAAGCAGTGACGTGGGAAATAGGCCTGGGGATGCCCAGAAGGATTCCCACTGGGAAGCCCAGGATGCAGGTGGTTTGAGGGCCCATGCCACAACTTGGACCAGAGATACAAGGTAGAAGAATGCCGAATTCACAGGTGAAGGTAAAAAGGACATTTCTGAAGGGGATAACCAAACCTGGTCCTCGGGAATGAGGCCACAATGGAGGGGCCCACACACACTGTCACCTGGAAAAGGCCGGGACAACAGCCTTGGTTCCTATTCTACCTGTGGAAGGAATGCTACCCACAGGTAAATGCCCTCGGGCACAGAAGGGCCCTCTGATACTTCAGAGGCTGAGAGCTCCGGCTCCAGCTTGGGGATAAGAAAGTGGGCAGGGAAGAAGGTTACCTTAACCCAGTGAGGATTGACTGACCTCATTGGCAATTCCAAGTGGCTTTTTTTTCCACTTGGCCTTGGAAAACCCTGAACAGAAGTGTCCTTAAAAACTGGGACTGTGGATTACAGGGCTGTCCTGGACAATGGAGCCCAAGGGACCGTCATGTACCCGTCATTCCCTGAGAAGCATTCTGTGTGAAGAAAATCCCTATCCAGCCTTGGAGGCTTTGGCCTTGGAGAACTGAGTGACAGAAACCACCCATACCTGGGATCCATGGAATTTCCCAAAAAGGTTGCTGGTGTCAACAGTGTAATGGAATATTCTGTCCCTGGTTTGTCCAGACCCTTCAGGTGTCGAATTTTCAGCACCAGCTGGAACCAATTCCAGTCTGTTCCGAATACTAGCTGAGTATTGCAAGCGCATTCTGGGCCTCCAGACCAGTGTGTTTGGACCCTCCGTGCAGCTTGATCAGTAGGAGGCACGCCAATGGACTGAGTCAGGTGGTGATTATGATCCTTGTGAGGTCATGTTTCAGTCTGCGGATGGATGAGACTGAGGGCAGGGGCGGCATGGTGGAGAGAGAGGCAGTCCCGGACTACAGGGGATAGAGGGTGGCCAAGGTGTCACAGTGATGAGCTGGTGAAACCAGGCCTTAGTCCCAGGTCTTTCCTTCCCACTGCCTGGGACCTCAGAAGTTGCCTGACTCAGGGCATTAAGGCCCGGGGAGTTGGGGAGGGAGTGATTTGCCCAAGGTCACAGAGGTAGGAAATAGCAGAAGCAGGATTTGAACCGAGGACCTCTGAATGGGAAGGATTTAGACAAGTAGCAGAAAGGGAGTTGGGTATTGCAGGCAGGTGACACAGTCTGAGCACAGGCCCTAGGGATGGGGAAGAGGCCCTAGAAAAGATGGTGTGGACCTCTGCCTGAGTAGAGAACAGGACGGAGTCACCCTTCTGCTGAACAGCAGCGGCCAGCAAGCGTGGGGAGGGGTGCGCACTGGAAGGTCTCTTTTCATTTCCCTGGCACAATAGGCCATTATTAAGCACCAGCTGCATGCAGTGCCCTCTGTTCTTAGATGAGGGTGGAGAGGGATGCCAGGTGACTGCCCTGCCAGAACTCACAGTCTAGTGAGGGTGGAGGTGTGGACACAGAAGAGGCATGCCCACCCTGGGGTGGGCCCCCCTGAAGTTCTGGGGATCCGACGAGTCCTGGCCTTCAGCTGAAAACGTCACCCTATGCAGGCTGCTCTGTCTAGAACTTGTACTTCCCTCCATGGGTACCGGGTGATACGAAGGGCCTGGCAGGGGAATCTCTGGGACAGAGGTATGAATGACGCTCCCGTTGTTTCCTCCTCCTAGGAGCCTCCTCATGGAACGGGATGCTCTGAAGCCCGGCTCCCCTTTGACCGAGCGCCTCATCCGGAAAGCATCAGCCCTGCATCTCATGGTGTAGAGCCTTGACTGGGGGAGTGGCCACCTCCTCCCTCCCCCAGAGGGAACCCCAGTCTCATAACTGTCCATCTGGAAGCACCTGGACCAGAAGCCAAACACCAGCCCCCAGCCCCTAGGAAAGGAAACCCCCCTCCACACACCCACGAGAAGCTGCACTGCCTCTCCACCAGATACCCCCCATGCCACCAATCTTCCATCTAAGAAGGGACACTCACTCTTAAGCTGTTTGAGAGCGGGTCATCCCCCTGTGAATTATTGGCCCAGATTGGTAAACCTCCAGACCCCATCTGTTGTCAAGAAGGAAACTGAGGCTGGGAGAGAGGAAGGGCCTCCCTCATGCTCCCAGTTAGCCAGTGTAGGACCCAAGCTGAGGCCCTTACCTTCCCTCTCCTGACCCAGCGCCACACTGGCCCCCCTGCCCCCAGTGTGCTACTCTGGGCCCCTCCTCTTCCCCTGGCTTGGTGTCAAGGGACTGGAAATGTCATTTTATAACAATGCTCAATCAGACATGACAAAGGAGTCATGTGTGCTGCTCCCTCTGCCCCCAGCTCTCAAGACCCACCCAGGAGGTGGTCATCTGGGCTGCAGGAGGGTCCGCAGCAGCCTGGGAGGCCTAGCCTTCAAGGTGGGGCCGTGAGGATGGCGGCCAGATTCACCAAGGAGAATGCCCTCCTCACCTGGCCCCAAGACAGTCAGGTTTCTCCTCCACCACTAGGGCATCCTGGCCAGCACGGGGGAATGCCCCACCTCTTTGGCCGAGGTTTTTTCTTTAATCGGCAACTTTTCCAGGAAAAAAATAGTGAGCTTGACCTTGGGCATGTCCCTCCCTGCTGTGAGCCTCAGTTTCCTTCTCAGTGAAATGAGGCTCAGCACTCTCCAGCCACCTCCCTTGCAGGGTTAGCCGCGGAGCTGGGAGGACGCTGCTTTGTCAGCCACCCACGGAAGCCAAAAGAGCAAGTGATATCCAGCCAACCTCATGGGTGCTCGCATCTGAACAGTCAGGTCAGCTGTCAAGGTCTGTGACTTCAGCCCTCCGGGGGCCCATGTGGGCACAGGCTGTGACCCTGGGAGAAAATCCCTGTGGGCATCTCTTCTCTGAGCCTCAGCTGACTGCTCTGTAAAATGGGGCTGTTCAGAGCTGTGCTAGCTTCTCAGAGCTCAGTGAGCAGAGCACACCTCTCATTCCAGCAGCTGCCCTGGGTGCCCCACTTGGGCAGCCATGTGCAGAGGGAGCAAGGCCACCAGCTTCATCTGTGGGGCCGTGGCCTCTCCCTTAGGGACCCTGCCACAACCTGCAGGGATTGACCGCGCTCAAGGTTGGGGACCATTGTCTGGTCAGCATTGCCAACCGATGGCGGTCACTTTTTCCCTTAGAAACTGCATGAGATCCCATGGCTTCTCACACATGATTTCACGGTAAATTTAACCAAGCCATGATTTTTCCTCATTGGTGGGGGGGTGGGGGGTGGATGGAGGTCATGAGGTGGTTGCTGGGCTGTGGCCCTGTGGCTCCCAAACCCCAACCCTTGGGTGCGCGGGTATCAATCGGTAAGAATCCATTCTGTGACTGGAAAGCTGCCTCTGCCTTCTGATTCATCACTAAACTCTCTCCTGATTAACACTCTGTAAAGGCATGGCTATCTTTCCTGCGCTTCTGGGGAAGTGACTTCTGGCATCCGGCCTTCCCAAGGGAGAAGGTCAAAGGAGGCACATTTCCCTCAGGCCCTTGTCTGCAGTCTGCTCTCCTCTCCCAGGGCCATGGAGGTCCTGCCCACCAAGCAGCTGCCGTTTGCCTGGGCCCACGCTAGGCTCTGGGGATACAAAAAACAACCAGAAGGCAGACCCTGTCCTCATGGAGCTTACATTCTCTCAGGGGAAACAACACATTCACAGCTAAGTAACCAGGAACTGCAGCTCAGTAAATATGAGCTGATTTCATGAAGCTGGGGGAGCGGCTAGCAACTCGGGGATCCAAGAAGGCTTCATGTGGGAGGCAAGGTCTGAGCAGAGCTTTGAAGGAAAAGAGGGTTCTAAGAAGCGATGGTCAGGAGGGAGGGTGTTTGAGGCCCAGGAGACAACCGGGACAAAGGTCCAGAGGTGGGAAATGGACCAGTGGGTGAGGAACTACAATATGGTCAGTTGGGCTGGATTGTAGAGTTTGTGAAGGGCAGTCATATGTAAAATAGTTACATATAAATGTATAAGAAACTTTGGGAAGCTTGTATGGAGCCTAGATTGGAGGGGGAAGGTGCCGGAGGCAAGAAGACCAATGGGAGACTTTGCAATAGTCTAGGCAGGAGGTGACAGGGGCCTGAACAGAGGGGGTGACTAGGATTGGAGAGAAAGTGACGGATGTGGAACGTTGTGGGAGCAGAATCAAGAGGCTGGGCAAGTGAGTGGCTATGGGGGCCAAGGATGACATCAAAGTCGTTGGCCTCCACAACTGGAATGACAACGGTGCCTTCCACCAATGTGGGGAGAAGGAGTGGCTTTTTGGAGGGAGGTGGTGAAGGGGTAGCATCAGTGAGGCCACGGTCACAAGAGATAAAGGATTCTGTTTTGGGCATGTTGGGTTTGAGAGGTCCTGCTCTCAATCTGCGACCTCTCATTTTATGAAAAGTAGCATCGAAGAATCGGGACTTGGGCTAAGTGGAGGTGGGGGAGTGTCGGGCAGAGGGCAGTTGTTTGTAAGTGAATAATAGGATCCATTTATTTCAAGCAAACCCAACTGTGGTGCTGCTTCTCATTTTTTTTTTTTGATGAGGCAGTGGGGTTCAGTGACTTGCCCAGCGTCACAGAGCTAGTAAGCATCAAATGTCTAAGGCCAGATTTGAACTCATGTTCTCCTGAATCCAGGGCCAGTGCTCTATCCACTGCACCATAGAGCTGCCTCCGCGGTGCTATTTTTTAAAAAAGGAATGTAACAGAACTTGAGGAAGGGAAAAACAGCTTAACAATTGTGACCTTGAATGGATGAGACTCAACAACAAAATGGAAGAGCGTGCCTGACTGGATGATAAAAAACCTCCCTCAGTCTTGAGGTCCAAGACCAAGTGGATTACACGTGAGTCTCTGTCAAACCTTGAAAGGCCAGTTAGCCCCAATACTATATAAACCATTCTGAAAAAGAAAAAATGCCTTCAAATCTGGCCTCAGACCCATAACATTTAACTAGCTGTGTGACTCTGGGCAAGTCACTTAACCCCAATTGCCTCATAAAAAGAAAGAAAGAAAGAAAGAAAGAAAGAAAGAAAGAAAGAAAGAAAGAAAGAAAGAAAGAAAGAAAGAAAGGAAAGAAAGAAAGAAGGAAGGAAGGAAGAAGAAGAAAAAAAAAGAAAAAATGCCATTTGTTGAACTCCATTTTTGAGACAATTTGGCCCTGGCAGTCATCCCTGGAAGGATAGAGCACAGGAAGAGAATTGCAGAGATCAGTCGCACTAAGGAATATTGATGTGAAAAATGTTCAATAAAAATTAGCCAGGACACTAGAGCAATCTATTGAAATATTCACTGTGACCATTGGATAATACTGGGAAGACCTCTGTCACAAACCCGCTGACTGTCCATTGCAGGCAGAAGGGGAGGGATGTTTCCAGCCTGGGCCACATCTTGGGAGGATAAGTACCCACATGCTAATGACTCAGGGTACAAAGTTGGACCTGCTTTTATCTCCCTACATACCTACTCTCATGATGGATGAGAATGTCGAAGCCAGGAGGGACCTTAGAAAATGGAACCTGGAAGGAGGCTTAGAAGTCAGAGGCAACCCTCTTGTTTCACAGAAGGGGAGCGTGGGGTTCTCCAAATGTGGGGCTGGAAACCTGGTCACATGAAGAATTTTAAGATGGGGAGGTCACGGGGCTGAGTCCAGAACCAAGATTACACGACTTCTCTCTGGGCAGCCACTTCCCTGATGCTGAGAGTCACCTGGCCTGGGCCCTGATAGCGGTGGAATGGAGTGAGCAGGGCTGGGACGGAAGGAAGACTTCCTGTAAGAAATGAGCAAGGGGGTGTTTCAGAGAAGTCTGGGGCATCTTGTACGAGCTATCACAGAGGGAGCTGAGCAGGACCGAAGGACGATGTTCACCATAACAACGATGCTGGAAAGACTGCAGACCGTCCTCAGTGCAATGGCCAAGAACCACCCTCCCAGGGCAGAGATGCAGCATGCCTCCCCGTCCTGATAGAAAGATGGAAGACTGAGGCAGACTGAGATGCATTTGGAGACGGCCAATGTATTTTGTTTGACTGTGGATATTGGTTATGAGGGCTTTGTTTTTCTCTTATTTTCAGGGTGGGGAGAGGTGGGAAGGAGAGGAAATAGATTTGTATTCATTGAAAATCATTCTTCTTTTAAAATCATATGACCGCTGGAGGGCAGCAATGAGTCACATGCAAGCTGCTGAGTGCATTGGGGAGGGGCAGAACCCACCCAAGAGGGACCAGACGGGCACCAGGCCAGAGACAGGACAACGCAGGGATGTAACCCCGACAGCCAGGCCTCCTTGTGGCCTCTTTGGAGCCTGGAGTGGGAAGGGGGTGGGGGGGGCGCCACACTTGGGACCAAGGCCAAGCTCTGGGGGGCCTCATTTCCTCATCTGCGAAATGAGGTTGGACCAGAAGAGTACCTAAGCCCCCTCCCTCTCTGAAGCTTTGATCCCATGACCCAGGTCCTCAGTTTTTTCATCTGCACAATGTGGGGGCAAAAGTTTGTACTACACGGCCAGGCTCCCTTCCAGCTCTCAGCCTTGGGAGCTGAGGTGTGCCCCAAAGCCCTGGCTGGGGAGGTGGGCAATGTGGCTGAAGCCCTTGGGGGGATCATGCCCCTGCTCTGGGCCTCTGCTTCCGCAGCTGTCAAGGCTAATGTCACCACCTACTGTGAGGTGGGCTGTGTGCAAGGAGGGCTTTGCAAACAACAGAGCCCGCGAGAAAGGGGGGCTGCTCTTGCTGCCATGATTCAGAGCAAAACCAGGGGCACAGCCAAGGGCATGATGGACCCTGGGTCACAGACTGGCCCCCAGAAGGAAGCCAGGCAGGCCTGTGGTGGTGGGTGCCAGCCGGGCGCCTACGAGGCACCCACGAGGGAGGGACCACGGGAGCCCAGGACCAGCCGGGCGCCCACGAGGGAGGGACTGAGCTTCCCTCAAGAGTCCATGACATCAGCCAAGAAGGCGGCCCAGGGCTGGCTCACTTTCCACTGAAGAAGACTAAAAGCCAGTGAGGGGGTAGAGACACCCCGATGTGCAGCTCTCCTGGAATCGCTTCAGCCCTCGACTTCTTTAGAGTCATTTACGGAACCGCAGCGGCCTCGTCTGCGTCACCCTCCCAAGCCCCACCTTTGGCCATGACCTGCCCCAAGGGGACCTTCCTTGTTGCCATCTGCTTGGGGCCGCACTCCTCTAGGACCTGGGCTTCCACCCTAAATGGAGCCCAGAACCACAGACGCAGCCTGAGACGATCCGGGGGATGGGGGTGGCCGGCTGTCACAGAGAGAGTCAGCAAGGGTCACTCAGACCATCGCCTCCCCTTCTTGTGTATTAGCTGGGGGTGGGTTAGATGGTATGGGAAAGTGTCCCCCAGCTTTGACATCCTGTTTTGTTCTGACCTCCCCCCCAGCTCTGACACCCCTGTTCTAAGGTCCCGCTGGCTCTGACACCCCCTGTCCTCAGCCCCTCCAGTTCTGATATCCCCTGTTCTAAGGTCCCCCCAGCTCTGATATCCCCTGTTCTAAGGTCCCCCCCAGCTCTGACATCCCCTGTCCTAAGGTTCCCCAGCTCTGACGCCCCCTGTTCAGACTTTTCTCCACTATGCCCCCGCAGCCTTTTCACCCTGGAAGATCACCGTGCCCCTGCAGCCCCTTCCTCCCAGAACCTCCATTTCAGGAAAGTGTCCCGAGTAGCATGCTCCTTCATTCCTCTCTGGGTCCTTTCTCCATTATGCCTGCCTTGGTAGCATCGCCCCTCCCCATCCCATGCAGGTGTCTCAGGCGTCTTTGGGGAGGGCATGGCGCAGAACTAGGCCGCCTCTCCCCAACAAGCTCCCATTGCCTGGAGGGCCCACAGGGTGCAGAGACCAAGTCCCAGCGGAGCCCCAGGGCCCTTGGGTGCTGACTGGATGAAAGCACGGGCTTTGGGAGAGCCGTGTGATCTGCTCTCCCTGCCAGGCTGATAGTATTCAGCAGATTACCCGCGTGGTCTGCTGACCTTCAGAGCATTAACAGCAGACAAGGCCCCGACCAGGAGGCGGCTGCTGGCCAAAGGTGGACCCTGACAGCACGCCTGTCTGAGGCCCCCCCACGAGAGGCTCCTCAAGCGTGGTTAGTGCAGGATGTGGTCCAGCTGCCTCCCCCTGTCCCCAAGTCTGGCCTGAGCATTAACATAGGAGCCACCGAGGAGTCCATTGTCCAGACCGTGAGTCAGCCCACAGAGCATGTCCGACTGCCATGTGCTTTGAATGGCCTTGCAGATGGGCAGCAATGGGGCCCAGAGGGGACTGGGCTGCACCGGCTGATGCCTCCCTGGACCTTCCCCTGCCCACGAGCTCTCATCCTTTATCTCCCCTCCTTTTCTCAGCCCCACCCTGTTCCCTTGTGCTCTGCCCCGCAGGGCGCCCCTTTTCCTGACACCCCTGTTTCTGAGGAGGGACCTCCCAGCCTCCCAAGATGGCCACCTTGCAGCTCTCCTGGACTCCCCTCATCCTCTCCCTCTCCCCCTCCCCAGGTCCTGCCATCTTGGGCTCCCTGACATCGATCAGCCCCTTCTCTGGCTCCCGCCTGGCCCAGCCCCTCACCACCTCTAGCCTCAGCTGTTCTCGCAGCCTCCTCGTCAGGCTCCCTGCCTCAAGTCTCTGCCCTCTCCAATCCAGCCTCTATTTGGACAGTCCTAATACCCAGCTTGGACTGGTCAGTCTGGAGCTGTAGAAGCTCTGGGGCCTCCCAGTGACCTCGATGATAAGAGGGACTCCGCTGTGGGCTCTGCTCCACGGTGAGGAGGCACTGGGGGCCGGGGAGGAGTAAGGAGCACTCAGAGGGCTGGCGGGCCAATAAACGTCTCTTAAGCACCTACTGGGCGCCAGGCTGCACTAAGTGCAGGTACTAAAAGAATGGTCTTTGACCTCGTGGCACTTACAATCTGGTGGGGGAACAGAGGAGAGGAAGGTGCCCTGCCAGGCTGCAGAGATCAGAGGGGTCCTGGGTAGTTCTGCCAGGTAGGTGCAAGGAGCCAGCCGTCCTGAGCCTTTCAGAGCTCCAGTCAGAGGGGCAGAATAGAGACTGGAAGGAGCCAGGCCCATCCCGTCCTGAGGGATGAAGAGGTTCCTGGGGCATGATGGAGCTGGGGGGCCTCAGGTTCTGCACCTTCCCAGCTCTGCCAGAGGCCGGTGCTCAGGCCTGGGCACTGGAGGCAGGGGGTGCGGGGGGGGGCCACTGACAGAGGCTCCCTCTGTCTCATGCGCAGCCCCTGACCAGAAGGCCTACTTCAGTCGTTTCCTGCCCGTGCTAGTGAAGCAGCTACTATGAGCTGGACGTGGGAGACGGGACAGATATGACACGGGCCCCGGGACTTTGTCAGGGATGGGAATGCCCACGTGGGGAAGCTCTGTCATCAGGTAAGATGGGCACCTCACCCCAAATGACCGGCTCACTCGTCCAGAGTCCCAGGGCCAGGGTGTCCAGAGGCCACCAGGATGGGGAGCCAGCCTGGGGCTCAGAGAAGGCTCCCAATCCCTCCCTTGAGGGTCCCTTACAGGCTCCCACCTGGGAGGCAAGACCCAGCACCAAAGGCCTGGTAAGGGAGCAGGGACGGGGCAGGTCCAGCTGCAGGCTCTAGAGAACTCCCCAGTGGCTGTTTGTTGGGCCAGACAAGGCAGCCCTGAGCCAGGCCTGGAGGCACTGAGGTGGCTGCTAGGCCAACAGGGAAGAAGAGGGCTCACCAGGCCCCAACAGCAAAGGGCTGTGCAAGACTTTCCAGCCGCAGGTATGCACGTGTGGGACTACCATCTCCTTGTCTGGAGTCAGGAGTTCAGCAGAGGGGAGTCTGAAAGAAGCCTGGAAAGGTAGGGGGAGGTGGATTGTGCAAGCCTTGAGGTCAGCTTTGGCCAGAGGGAGCCATCGAAGGTGTGGGAGCAGAGGAGGGTCTTGGGAAACCTGCACTTCTGAAATCCCTCTTTGTGGGGATGGGAGCTGGGGGAGCCTGGGGCAGGGAGAGGCTCTGGCCCTTCTTCAGAGAAGGGGAACTCGGAGGGTGGCCACAGAGCATCACCCTGAGGGAAGGGCATGGTGGTGAGACTCCTGGCCTCATCGAACTGGCCAGATGGGCCGGGCTGACTGTCATGTGGGGAGGAGAGGGAGTCCAGGGTTATTTGTCAGGGCCCAGAGTCCCCTGGAGCCAAGCATGACTTCACCGGCCTCTCTGGGCTCTGTTATCCTCTTGGTACAAATATTTATATCCTGCAGATACACAGCCTTCTTCTAAGGACTGGAGGCCGAGGTGCTGGCCCGCCAGTGGGCCGGCCTGGGGCCCTTCAGTCCCCTTGTCTATATTTGGCCGCTTGCTGCACACTCTGGGTGGGGGGAGGGGGAGAGGCCCCTGCATCTTGAGCCACATTTGGTGCCTCGGGTTCTTACAAGAGGCAGGGCATCTCCACCAACTTTACCTGGCCCCCAGCTCAGCCGCACCCAGGAATAGTGTCTCAGAAGAGGCCCCACTGATCTCCAGAGGCTGTCCCTCAGGACACTGCTCCCAGAACCCCAGGAAGGTGCCCCCTCATCCTACCGAGGGGTCAGCATCACATCTGGGGGGGCCCTTGTTCCCCTTAAGAAGCAGCGAAGTGTGCACAGAGTATAGGGAAGCTGGAGTCGGGAGGACCTCAGGCACTGACTTGCTGTGTGACCCCAGGCGACCACTTCACACCCCAACTCAGCCTGAGTGTCCTCTTCTGTGTGATGACAAACCCAACCTCCCAGGGTTGTGGACCAAAGCGTTCTGTAAATGCCTGCTGCCGCCATCCCACCCACCAGCCTTGATTGATTCAGACATGTGGGGTCATTTCCAAGGTCATGGATTTGCCAGTCAAGAGGAGGGTCCCCCAAAATCCTCCCAGCTGGGAAAGGGGATAAACACTTGCTAATAGAGGTCACGTTTATAGGGGTCTCCAGCGCTGTGGAAGAGGTCTAAAATTGAGGTGATGACACCGCCCTGGCGGAGCAAGGGGTGCCCTAAAGAGGAGGTGTTTGTGGCCCGGCGTCACCCAGAGGCAGGCCTCCAGTGGAGTGCCCAGGTGGTTGGTGCCGGCTCCATGACCGCTTCTATCTCTACCCGCTTTGCCATGCAGCCTCGCCCCTGCCTTCTGTGAAGTCAGCTGAATTGATTGAATCGAATTGGGCCTCAAATGCTTCATCTGTAAAGTAAGGGGTGAGGGGTGGTACTATGTGAAAAGAGCACCAGATTTGGAGTCCAGGGCCCTGGGTTCAAATCCTACCTTGGCCCCTTCTCTCTAGAGGAAGCTGGACAAATCTCTCACTGGGTCTCAGTTCTCTTATCTGTAAAGTGGGGGGCTGTTCTGGGCAGCCACAAGGTCTCTTTGGGATCCCCTGAGCTCCTCTCTGTGCTGGGCTATCAGCCCTTCAAGGAGGGCAAGTTCCTCTTCTCATTTATACTTTATACCCCGCCCTAGCACCAAACACATGGTTTGGTACACAGTAGGAGCTTCACAAACATTGATTTAATTCTCCTGTGACAGAGACATGGGGCTTGTCCCTGAACACAGGCAATGAACGGGGGGAGGGAGAGGGAGAGCTTCCTTCTGTCCAGGGGTTCACCCAGCTTGGCACACAGTAGGTGCTTAATACTCACTGATTGACGGAGCCTTGCCTCACAGAGCAATTGGAAGGATTGAGGGAGATCATGAAGATGAGGTGTTGTGAGTGGAAATGACCGGACCCCTATCAGACTGTGGAGGAGCCACTGAAACATACCTGTGCTCCTCTGCCCCCATCCCGCAGCGGAGCACCCACCCCCTAGCCTTTCCCAGATGGAGGACGCCCCTCCTGCACTACTGGCATCTGACGACTGAGAAAATGAACAGCGACAAGGAAGAAAGGCCTTTTCTGGACATTTGGACCTTGATGGGGGGCACCCGACGGCTGGGAGCCTGGGCGGAGCTAATCTTGCGTGATTTTTTAAAACATATTTTTATTTATTTTGTTACCTATTTCCCATTTACATTTTTAAAAATTTAAACATCCATTTTTTATTCTTAATTTTAAAAAAAATCTTAAAATTTAAGAAGTTTAAAAAATTTTTTTAAAGTTCCGAATTCTCTCCTACTTTCCCTCGTCTCCTCTGAGCAAGCAATGATATTGATATTGATTACACATTTGCAGTCATGCAAAACATATTTCCATACTAATCATGTTATCACAGAAAATACACATGAAAATATGAGAAATGGGGGTAGCTAGGTGGCTCAGTGGATAAAGCTCCGGCCTTGGAGTCAGGAGGACCTGAGTTCAAATGCGGCCTCAGACACTTGACACTTACTAGCTGTGTGACCCTAGGCAAGTCACTTAACCCCGATTGCCTCACCCCCCCCCAAAAAAAATATGAGAAATGAGGACAATTTAAAAATCTGCTTCAGTTCTTCCTCAGGAGGCAGAGAGCATTTTTCCTCATGGGTCCTTTGGAATTGTCTTGGATCATTGTGTCACTGAGAAGAGCTAAGCCATTCATAGCTGAGCATCACACAACACGGCTGTTACTGGGTACAACGTTCTTCTGGTTCTGCTCACTTCACTCAGCATCAGTCCATACAAGTCTTTCCAGGTTTTTCTGAAGTCTGCTTGCTCATCATTTCTTACAGCACAATAGCATTCCATTACACTCCTATACCACAGCTTGCTCAGCCATTCCCCAGTGGACGGGCATCCCCTCACTTTCCAGTTCTTGGCCGCCACAGAAAGAGCTGCTATACATATTTTTGTGCAGATGGGTCCTTTTCCTTTTCCCTTTTCTATGAGCTGATCTTACAGAGTGAAGGGAAGCTCGGAGCTCCCCCAGCCCAGACTCTCCAGGCCCAGCACATCCTTCAGAGGCCTTGGAGACCAAGGCTCAAGGGGAGGCTGCCCACTGGGGGACACCTATTCATTTGGTGAGCTGGGGGTCCCTCCTAGAACCTGGAAAAAGAGTTAGGGAGATAAAAGCAGGCCCAACTTTGCACTCTGAGTCATTAGCATATGGTTACTTTTCCTCCCAAGATGTGGCCCAAGCTGGAAACATCCCTCCCCTTCTGCCTGCAGTGGACACTTAGTGGGTTTGTGATGGGGGTCCTCCCTCCCAGGGTGCAGACTCCTCCATGTCAAACACTGGCCCATGCCCTTCCATAATCCCCATGGAAGTGTCTGCCCACAGAGCTGGGAGCCTGCAATCTTCATGGACAGCAGTGAGGCCTCTGGCTCTCTCCGGCTCTTGAAAGAACCAGGCCCGCTTCTTTTCCCCTTCTCTAATGCAATGCTTGCTGTGACTTCTCTGGGACAGCTGTGGGTTGAAAAGGTGTTGTGACATCTGCACAGCCTCTTGGAACCTTGCTGCTGCCCTTTGGGTGATCTGAATTCTGGGGTGACCGGGGCATTCCACGCCCAGCAGCCATGTGGCATCACCAGAATATTGTAACAAAGAGAGAAGGATCCAGGCAAAGGCTCTCGGCCAGTCCAGGGGTAGAGACCTTCCCTTTAGGATGCTGGAGGTGGCCCAAGGGCTGGTGCCAGGGGAGATGACTCCCCTTAGGCAGGAAGTGCTGGGGAGCAGACACCAGGCAGTGGGAAGGCCGTGGGGGTGGCAGCTTGGGCCAGGCAGTGCATCACTGACTCACAGTGGCTGGGAACCGGTCCCTTCCCCACTCAGGGGGCCGGTATCCCCTGTCATACAAGGTCTCTCTCCCAGAGGTCCAACATCCCATGATGCCACAGTCCTCCTGTGCCCAGGCAGCAGTGTGGCCTCATGTGTCTTTCCGGGCCCAGGCACCCAGGATGACCATGAGGAGGGCCAGGATGACCACAGTGTAGATGGTGTGGACGGTGGGCAGCTGCTCGTCCTGGCCCCAGCCATGTCTGCTGCTGCAGGCACGTGGCCAGCCGGGGCCAGCTGAGGAGAAGGCTTTCTGTCGGTATGCTCGGAGAGAGTGAATCCTGGAAGGAAACATGCCAGGCTTTAGAAAGGGGCCCAGAGGTGCCCACAATGGCAGGGATAAAAGGCCCTCGAACCCAGAACCCAGCCTGCCACAGCTGGACCAGACCTGGGAGGCATGGCGGCCAGGCTGCCACGGAGGACCAAGAAAGGGAGTGGATGCTCAGAGGGGGCATGAGGAGGAAGCGGAGGGACGCGGCCTGGCCTGGGAGTGAGCCAGGAGCTCTGGGGCCTGGCTGCTCGCTCCTCGGGAGGTCAGGGGCACGTTGCTGAAACTCTTCTCTGGACAAGGAGATGTCAGAGACAGAGATGCGCTCTCGCCATCAATTCAGAGTGAGCTAGTGGTGCGACACAGGGCTGTCCCAGAGTCAGAGGGCCCTCGGGGCAGGTAGTGAGCTCCCCGTCCTGAGAGGTCCCCAGGCAGAGAGTGCTGCGGGACGCCAGCTGGTCAGGGACGTCATAGGCAGTGTGGTCCCCCCAGGTCCCTCCCAGCCCAGAGATTCTACCACGTCCTTTGTGCTAAGGAGAGCCACCCTTGAAATTCCCCAGTCTGTGCCCTCTTCATGCCCAGCCCGGCGGGGCTCTCCCCAAAGAGTCCCTGGCCTGTTCTGCATCTGTTTCCCCATCTGCCCGATGAGAAGGTTGGCTTGGGTCAGAGGTTCTTAATTGGGGGTCTGTAACCTTCTTCTCCTGGAATGTCGGTATAATGGTTTCCTATGTCATGCACTGTATTTTATTTTCTGCATTGAAAGTGGGATTGTGAGGAAGAGTCCACAAGGCTCACCAGACTGCCAGGAGGGGCCCATAATGCCCAGATAGGGCGTGAGCCCCTGGCCATGACTCTCTGCTCTGCATGCAGGACTCTGTACCCTTGACTCCCATCTGTGAAATGGGGATGATGTTCAGCGTTCCCCCAGCTGGCCTCATAGGACTGGATAATAACAATAGCAATTACCATTTATACAGTGCTAACTGGGTGCCAGGCACCGGGCCAAGGGCCTCACTGAGCACCAGAGAAACTGCAGCTTTTACGTTGACGTTTGTCAGGGGGTTAGGAGACGCCCTCCCCTGCTGCAGATCTCTACCGGCTGGGGGACCTGTTGCGGGCTAGGGGTTGGGGTTGCTTAAATGACCATGTCCCAGAGTGCTCAGAGGACAGCGGCAGGGCTTGACCGGTCTTTCTGAGCTCCAGGCCAGCTGTGCAGCCCCTCCACCACAGCTGCTTCTGTTCCCTCCGGGCAGGGGCCCTTTGGACAGCTGCCCTTCAGTCTCCTGGCCCTTGGGCCATCCAACAGCCCAGGGCCCGGGATTCACCCAAAGTCTCACGGCTAACAGGACTTCTTCATGGAATCACACACATTCCAAGGAAGAAGGGTTCCCAGAGGGAGTGGAGGCTAACCCTCCCTATGCAGGAGGAGAGGTCATGCAACCTTTGACTGAAGCCCTCTGGTGATGGGGAGCTCCCTAGCTGCATTCCACAAGGCCAGGGACCTCTCCACTGACCATGCTGCCTCCCAGCGAAGAGACCCGAGGCTCTTACCTCCTGGAGACATTCATGCTGTCCGGTGCTGGTGTGGGTATTCAAGACCCCTGGAAGTTCTGCTCTCAGGCTCCTGACCTGGCAGGCCCTGGCCCCCTCAACGTGCCTGTGGGCAGAGAGGAGCTTCTTGCCGGAAAGCCTTGTCCCACACGAGCAGCCCAGCCCCCTCCGTCACCAAGACAGAGCCTGGGGTTCCGCATCTAGGCTGAAGCTAAACTGCAAGCCCTGGGACAAACCCCGACTCTGCTTCTCTTTGGACAGCTGTAGCCTGGTGAACAGCCACCCAGCTGGCCTGTGTCTGCCCCCAGGGGCAGGCGGGAAAGCCGCCAGCCAGGAAGAGACCTCAGCGGCTCCCAGCCAGACCCTTCCAGCCCCAAGGAGGCAGGCCTCTTCCAGCAGCAGAGTGTGTGTGTGCATGTGCATGTATATATGTGTGTGTGCATGTGTATTGTGCATGTATGTGTGTGTACATGTGTGTGCGTGCGTGTGGGTTTGTGTGTGTAAACACACCGCTCGCATTTGTTTTGAAATCTGCCTGAGCATCTTCAGCCAGGGAAACAGGGTCAGGGCTAGCCTAGACACGGCAAGCTGCCAATGTCATCTGTGGGCGTGCCCTGCAAGTGAGACTGGAGCCATTTCATCAATCAATCAAACAGATGCTTTAGGCACCGAGCCCTCTGCTGGATTAACTGCAGGGACAAATTTTAGAAAGCATCTTTCCATAACTGGGGGGACTTGGTTACCCCCCACTGCCCAGCTGGTTTGTGAAGGTGCAAGCCCTTTGGAAACCCAGCATTGGTGGGTCTGGTGGGGGCTGTGTCCGGCCAAGACTCACCTCGGCCTCCCTGCCTCCTCCCCAACTAAAGAAGGACCGACAACACTTGGGACTTTTCCATCGGCCTTCTCACAGTGTCCCCTGAGTAGCCGTGATGGCGGCAGTGTCTGCATCAGGAGCCAAAGATAAATTAAACTCGTGAATATGGCTGACTAATGGATACCAACTGCTAATCGTGGAGCTGGGAGCACACTGGCGGGGGCTCGGGAGCTACAGCAACAGAAAGGCATTCCTCCCCAGCCCTTCCCACGCAGCCGCCCTGCTCTGGGGACCCCGCCTGCCTGCCTGCTACAGAAGGCTGGAGCTTGGGGACATTTATTAATCACCTGTTGTATGCCAGGGAGGCTGCTTGGCGCTGAGAACACTTCCTGCCCTCAAGGAGCTTATGCTGCACATACAAGCAGCAGAACCAATGTCTTCCTGATTCCAGGTCTGACCCTTTCTGACAATCAGAGAAGCCTCAAGACTCAATGTTCTCCATTTTACAGGAAGGGAAACTGAGGCCCAGAGAGACTGATTTGCCCAAGGCAGAATTTGAACCCAGACTCCCTAACTACAAACCAAGACTCTTTCCATGACCCCACACCTCTGAGGTTTCTGCTCCAAAATCTGGTCCTCTGGCACTCCCCGCCTCCCTACTCCCAAGATTAATCAGTCATTTATCTTTACGAGTAGAGGGGCTGTCCACCACGTGTCCCTGATATTCTGTGCCTGCCCGCCATCCACCAATCAGATTTCAGCCTATGGCCTTGCAGCCAATGCGCATGCGCCTCACCCCGGTCAGACTACATCCCCCAGAAACCCAAGGGGCTGAGGGAGCCGGAAGGGGCCTGCTGAGCTTGATTCAAACAGACCAATGGCCAGCGGGCCTCTCAGGACACGTGGTTCGTGTCGTGCCGGGGGGCGGGGCAGAGAGAGGAACCGATGCTCGGTTTTAAATCAGTTGGCGGCAGAGGCGGCCGTGACAGGTGAGGCGATGACGGGAGTCTCCGGTAAGGATGGGACAAACCGAGCTGGACGCCCTCGGGCCTGGCTCCGGGAGGAATGCCCCGCAGTACTTGGTGAAGGGAGGGAGACCAGCGGGCGCTGCTGTGGGGGTGGGGCCGGCTCCCCCCACGGGGCCCCAAAGGAACGTCCCACCAGGCACCTGCCCCCTCTCCTCCTCTCCCGCCCTCCATGGAACGTCCCGCAGGGGGCGGAGCCATGTGGTACTTGTTCCCTCCCCCCGCCCGGGGCCCCAATGGAACGTCCCGCTCCCAGCCCCGCCCCCTCCCATGGAATGACTGGGGGGAAGGGCCGAGAGGATGGCACCTTTTGCCCGGTGGAGAAACTGAGGCCAGGAGATCGGAAGAGCCAGCCGTCCCCCAGGTCACAGAATCAGGCACCCCCCACCCCCGCCTTCGCCCCCCGACCAGGGATCCTGGTCTAGAAAAGGGAAAGAGAAGGAGGTCAGCAAGAAGTAACCAGTGGGTCAATCTGGGCCACACCTGCCTGTTACACATGTGGAGAAACTAAGGCCGAGAGTGGAAGAGCTGGGCCAGATGGCAAGGCTGGCCTAGAACCCAGGCCCTCAGTCTCGAAATTCTTCCCTCTTTACAAGAGGTGGCACTCAGTCCAGGGACCTGACCCCAAAACTGGGTGAACTCAGGCCAGTGGTTTGAGCTCTTGGAGCCTCAGCCTTTGGCCCTCAGTTTCCTCACCTGTCCAATGGGCAGATTTAGGCCAGACCCACTGGTCACTTGTAGCTGTCCCTTCTCTAACCCTGTCCACTTTCTAACCCAGGATCCCTGGTTTAGGCCCCTGTGGGACCCTGGGGAAATCTCTTCTGTCCTGGCCTCAGATTTACCATCTGTGAAAAGGGAGGCTTTGGCTTAAATAGTTTCTGAGTGCCTCACCCCACTGGCCCTCTCCCTGGAGGTAGGTCATACTCCTTTGCTGGGTCTCAGTCTCTGCCTCTGTGAAGCAAAGGTCTTCTGAGGTCTGAAAGGGAGGGACTTTAGGGACTCTCCTCCTTTTGTGGCCATGAAAGTCAGGTGGCCTGTCCGTAGTCCCCCAGGTGACCATTGGTGGCAGGTCTACTGACCATGACCCCCCTGTTCTATTAAATGATGTTTTCAACCTACTTCTCTTATCCTACTTATCCTTTGGGGCTAAATGTCTTGAAAAGCCTGTCCACAACCCACTGCCTCCAGTTTATCTTCTCTCACTCCCTCCTTAACCCCTTACAATTCAGCTTCCAACTTTATCATTCCACTAAAACGGCCCTTTCAAAATGACCAGCAGTCTCCGAGTGGCCAAATCCAAAGGCCTTTTCTCAGGCCTCATCCTCCTCGACCTCTCTGTACAGTTGGTCTGACACTGTTGGGTCACTCTCCCCTCCTCTACACCGTCTTTTCTCTAGGCTTTTGAGATACCTCCTCCCCCACCTTTCCTGGTTCTGCTCCTACCTGTCTGACCCCTCCTTTTCTGTCTCCTTTGCTGCATCCTCCTCCAGGTCACACCCTCAAACCAGAGGTATCCTTCAGACCTCTGTCCTAGGCCCTCTGCTCTTCTCCCCTAGACTGCTTCACTTGGTGATCCCATCAGCTCCGCACATACAACACATCCAAGTTGTGGCCAGGGCGTGTGGATTTCACCTCTGCAGCATCTCTCTTGTCCATTTCACCTCTGCAACACCTCTTGTCTATTTCACCTGTAAAGCATCTATGGTGGTTTCACCTCTGCATCATCTCCTCAATGTGCCCCCTTCTCTGACCCTGCCCCCACCCTGGTGCAGGCCTCATCCCCTCACCCCTGGATAATTGCAGTAGTTGCTAGGGGGGTCTGCTTGCCTCAAGTATCTCCCCACCCCAGCCCGTCCTCTATAATGCTCTGTTGGGCAGTGAGCCCTTCATTCTCCTGCTGCTCCAATCTTCCCACACATTTCTTCCTGACAAACACTCTTCAATCCAATGACACTGGCATCCTGACTGTTCACAAATACAACCCTCCATCTCTGGGCTCTCTGGCCATTCTCTCTGTCTGCCCCCTATTCCTGGAACATTCTCTCTCTACCCCAACTGCTGACCTCCCTGACTTCCATTAAGTCCCAACTAGAATCCCCCCTTCTACAGGAAGCCTTCTGCAGCCGCTCTTCATTCCAGTCTCTTCTGTCTGTTATTGTTTTCTTATTTATCCTGTGCAGAGCTTGTTTGTATATATTTGTTTGTCTCGCCTATTAGATTGTGAGCTTCTTGAGGGCAAGGACTGTCTTTTACCTTTTTTTTTTGTATCCTCAATGTTCAACACTGTGCCAGGCCCATAGCAGGCATTTAATAAATGTTTATTGAATTGAATTATGACTCTGTACCAGCTGTGTGACCTTGGACAGGTCATTTCATCCTTGATTCCCCCATTTCTGCCTGTGTAACGACTGGAACTCACATTCCTTTATCCCCTGAAGGTTTACAAAGCACTTTCTCGATGAATGTCCACTCCTTGAGAGCTTGTTGTCTTTGTAATCCCCCCCACCTCTGGTGACTTGTACACAGTAGGTGCTTAATAAATGTTTATTGCTGTGAAGTAGAAAGCACTTAGTATTATTCTCCCCATTTTACAGATGAGTAGTCCAAGGCTCAGTGATGGGAAGCAGCTTGGGCGAGGATCACCCAGGACCATAGCCACTGCCCTGCACGCTGGAGGCACTGCTGCTGTCACCCAGGGCTGTGGCTGAGGTCTAGGGGAGAGGCGGGACTCTGGGCCACCCATTCTCCCCCTCCCCAGACACCTCTCAGGGGGCTCAGGCCACTGCTGAAAGAAGGTGGGGCTGGAGAGACCCTGGGGAGAAGAAGCCGGCCCCTGCCTCCTGCCCTCATGTCCTTCTGGTGGCTCTGTTCCCGTGACAACGACACAAAGCAGCTCCCACCCATGGGCAGTCTGTGCTGGCCTGGACTGTGCTGCCCAGCCTCCCTCGCCAGCTTCCCGGGGGCGCCTGAGGAACGTGGGGATTGAGGATCAGGGAGCTGAGCCCCGCTGATGTGGGCGGCGGGTGGCATCAGCCCCTCCAGCTAAGGTCAGCATTCCCTCCTGTCTCCTGTTTGGTTTGCTGGCAGGTACTTGTCTGGCGGGATTTACCATGGAGGAAGGAGAGGAGGGCTTGGTCAGAGGAGCCACCGACGAGAAAGCCGATGTGGACGCACAGGATGGTAAGGATGTGCTGGCGCTAATGACCTTTATTCTCATGACCCCAGCCTCCAGCCCCCCACCCCTGCACCTGGGTAGAAACTTGGCCAGGACTGAATTCACCTGAGGTCACATGTTGGGGGTAAGGAGCAGAGCCCGAGGCTGGGAGGAGGGGGCTGGGCAGGGCCCCAAGGGGCCATTGGCCCATGGTAGGGCGTCACCCCGTTGGCTAGCTGAGTGGGTGGCACACTGGCTCAGGGGGCCTAGGGCTGGAAGGTACTGAGGGGTCAAGGAGCCAGGTAGTTTCTGAGAGTGAAAGAGGAGGTGACCTTGTCCAGCCCTCGTCTCTTCCCCACTCCAGTCTTGCACCACGAGCTGACCCCTAGGCCATCTCTCACCTGGGGCCACTTCTGTGCCATCCTTTTTTTTGGGGGGGGGCACTGTCCTGGGCCCCAGGCTCAGCCCCGCCTCGACACCCACATCCACTCGGTTCCTGCGTCACCTCCCCAACCTCTCTTGTGCCCACTGCCTTGTCTTCACTCATGTGGCCTGGAACCCAGGCCTGAGCACACTCCCCTCCCCAGCTCAGTAACCTTCGGTGGCTCTTTGTGAGCTCCAGACTGCTTTCCAGACCCTTCCAGGCCTCCCACTCCTCTGCTCTGGACCTGGCTGGTGCCAGCCTTGGATGGTTCCCCTGCCATGTCCACCTCAGAGGACTCAGCTTAGGTGACGCCTCCTATGTCGGGGGGCTCCTGAGGCCTTCAAGGTAGAGGAACATGGCTCCGCTGAGAGGGGGTCAGGGGCCTCTGAGCACAGGGCCAGGCCCACCGCAGGCACATCCTAAATGCTTGCTGGTTGATCGATCAGGGAGCAAAGTAAATAGCATGTCCATCCCCCTCCTCCAGGCCAACTGGCTTCTCTCTTTCAGACCTTCCTCTTTTGACTGATGAGAAATTTGACTTTGACCTCTCCCTGTCTTCATCCAGGTAAGCTGATGTGCATTGACTTCTTTTCCCTGCCTACTGCCTCCATCACTGCATCCCATCCCTGCCCCTCTGCCCTCCTACCCCCGCCCCTTCCCCTCTGTTCCACCCCAGGAGAGTGGCAGGGGGTCAGGGCTGTCCCCCCATCTCTCCCCTCCCCTCTCCCCAGGAGAGTGGCAGGGGGGTCAGTGCTACCCCCCTACCCTTCCTGCCCCCTGTCTTCCCATCCCTACCCTCGCCCCTACCCCAGAAGGGCTCCAGCAGGGGGGTCAGTGCTGCTCCCCCCACCCCTCCTGCCCCCTGTCCTCCCTGTCCCCCCCATCCTTACCCTCTCCCCTGCCCCAGAAGGGCTCCAGCAGGGGGTCAGAACTGCCCCCTGCTGCCCCTGTCTGCCATGTCCTCCTATCCTTGCCCCCCCCCCGCCCCAGGAGGGCTCCGGCAGGGGGTCACGCTGCCCCTCCCCGCCTCTCCTGCCCCCTGTCCCTCCATCCTCCCCTCCCCCCCCACCCCAGAAGGGCTCCAGCAGGGGTCAGCGCTGCCCCCACCCGTCCCCAGAGGACTCTGGCAGGGGTCAGCACCACCCTCCTGGCTTTTCCTCATACCACCAGTGCCAATGAGGATGAGGAGGTCTTCTTTGGGCTAGTCGGGCACCGGGAGCGATGTGTGACTGTCAGCCCGGTGCCCCGGGAGGCCGAGCTGCTCACGTGGAGCCCTGTGCCTGGAGAGAAGTTTGTGGAGATTTTCAAGGAGGCGCACTTGCTGGCCCTGCAGATCGCAAGCAGCGCCAAGAAGGCGGCACCCAGAGTCCGTGAGCCCAAGCCGGTGCCAGCCCCAGGGTCAGGGGAGGAGTTTGTGCAGGAGGCCAGGCTGAAGCTGGACATCTTTGAGCGAGGACTGCAGGTGCAGAGAAGCTCCCCAGCTCTCAAAAGGGAGACCTACTGTGTGCCGACCCCGGAGGGGGCCCCAGTGCGGGCATCACTCACCTTTGCCGAATCCCCAGGGGCCCCAGAGCCTGCTTCCAGTGCCCGTCTTCAGAGCCAGGGGGTGGCTGAGAGAAAAGCCGCGAGCCGACTGCCGCCCCCCAGGTCTTTGTCTGTGCCTGGAAAGGGGGCTCCCGCCAAGGTAGCCCCACCCCCCAGTACCTCTGCTACATCCCCTTTGGGAAGTCGAGGGGCAGCCTGTCCATGGAGGGAGGGTTCCCCAGGGCCTGGGCAGAGAGGTGAGAAAGCGTCCGGCCTCCGCCCAGGTTCCCACCCCAGCTCTGCCTCCCCATCGTGGGGCTGCCCTCCTCTAGAACAGATCACGGTCCATCCTCTCTCCCTCCTCCTGGGAGATGAGGCCCGATGGGTGGTCCTCTTCCCTCAGGGGGCACCTGCTGTGTCTTGGCTGGGCAGACTTTTCCCTAGAAATGGGACGGTTCTCATGTGTTTAATCTTTGGCATTTCAGCCTCAACCAGGGACACAAACCCATCCTTCGAGGCTCCCTGCTGGGAGTGCCAGAGTGTCCTCAGGGGCTGTGCCCTTGGACCAGTCTAGTGGCACTTCAGAGGCGAGCGCATCCTTCGGCAGTGGCAGTGGCACCAAAGGCCCCCCGGGCCTCCATGCCCCCAGCAAGGTGCCTGAGCCCTGGCAGGGGGGGAGTGGCAGAGACCGTCTCCCGAGCGGTCACCCTGAGTGTGTCTCATTTCCCACAAAGTGAGGATGGGGATGCCCGAGTGGAGTTATGAATGGCCATGGTTAGGGCCTCGTGCCAGCCGCGAGCCCCAGGCAGAAGCAGGTCTCAGGGAAGGGGATTGCAGACAGTCTCTGCTTGTGCTGAACTCAGCACCTTATTTCAGTTTGGGGCGAGGAAAATGCTGCTGAAACCTCCGGGGCCCACCAAGACCCTCCTCAGGGGAAAGAGCGCCTCCTTCTCAGGCCCCGTGTGCGGCATGAACCTGACCCCGGCAAGAGGCAGCGGTAAGACCCTGCTGCACCCCAGTGAGCCTGGGGAAGGGCAGTCAGTGCTGGGGTAGGGGGGAGCCGTGCAGGGATTGGGCACAGAGGGGTGGCCTGGTCCAGGGGTACAGGTGAGGCATGGCCCAGGGTGGGGAGCTGCGGCAGGGGTTGAGCAGGAGTAACCGGGGGAAGAGGGTGTTCCTGGCAGGACGGGCTGGCATCGGGCACACTGAGGGTGGTGGCTTCCCTGGGGAGGGGCTCTCTCTTCCCTGTGCCCATTGCTGCTTCCTGCTGCCAGCTGCATCTCTGGTCATGGGTGGTAGTGGGATGGGCTATGGGCCCACATCTCATATGTCAGAGGCAGCCCCGATCTCACTAGACCCCCCAGGGCATCATGCAGAACAGAAACAAGCAGGTGTCAGGCCCTCCCTGGTCAAAGGAAATGGGGCCTGGGGCTGGCCTCACTCATTCACAGGACACCTGCTGTGCAGAAGAACATGGGAGCAGAAAGACAGACAGCAGACAGATACAAGCAGAGATAGATACAGGCACAGACAGACAGACACAGGCAGGCACAGGCAGATACAGGTAGGCAGAGACAGACAGATAGACACACACACACACACACACACACACACACACACGCGCGCGCGCGCGCACGTGCGCGCACACACACACCCCCTCTCTCTACCTCTGACTGCCGTGCCTCCATTCTGAAAGTTCAGCCTGCTCTCGTGTGAGCTGTGTCTTTGGCCCAGCAGCCAGGGGACAGCCTCAGAAGCAGGAAGACCTGGGTTCAAGTCCTGCCTTGGTCACATGTCAGCTGAGCCTGAACATGCATCCCTGGACGCCAGGTTGGGGAGGTACAGACAGGTGCTGCTACCTGCATGTGTGGAGGGACATCCTTCCCCAGGACTCCCCCTTGCTGCTGCAGTCCCAGGTCTGGGGTGTCTGGGCATCATGTAGTCCCTGGACAGGCACAGATGAGCCCAAAGCATGCCATGATCCCTCTGACAGACAGATGGGATTCACCCATCCAAGGGCCGTCCCCGGTGCCCTGCCCACTGTGCCCAGGCCTGCTCCTGCCGGCTCAGTGGCCCATGAGCTCCATCTGGGGGCAAGGGGCAGTCACTGCAGGGCCAGGTCCCTAAGGGGTCTCCCTCTGGCTGCGGGTCCTGTGCCCTGTCCACACTCTCCCCGCATCACCTGAGGCCCCTCTGCAGTGGGCAGGGCCCAGACCCCAGGGCTCAGCAAGGCCGGCCGGCCCCTAGGAGCAGACTTTAGAGGCCAGAAAGTTCTTGGAGGCTGGACTTCTCTCTGTAGTGATGTGGGCCAGCAAGGTTCCTGGATTACTGCACTGCATCTCCCAGCCCCCTCCCCAGAGCAACTGCTGAAGGAGGCCAGGCACAGGCGGGCAGGGTAGGGTAGCAGCCACAGCTTGGGTATGGCCTAAGACGGGCTGGGGGAGAGCCTTCTCACTGGGCTCCCTGCTGTTCCACTTTCAGCTAAACCAGGTGACCCTTTCCTCCATCTGGCCGACACTCCTCGGCCCAAGCTGAGTGACCAGCTGAGCCACGGAAACATCTCTTGCCCAAAGCAAACCAGAGTGGCCCCGGCTGCACCCTTGGCCAGCCGAGCCAAGGAGGCTGCCTCAGTTTCCCTGAGGCAGCCACAGACCCCCAAAACTGGAATCCAGAGGTTGAGTTCCACCCCCAGCTTATCCCAGCCCTCTCAGCTGACAAAGCCAAGGGGGTACAGGGGGCCCAGCTCTGGCGCCAAGGCGGGGCTGCCCACCAATCTGCTCCGACGTCCTGCTTTCACTGGAGGTAAGATCTGCCCAGGGAGCCCTTAGATTCTCCTTGGCACTGATTCAGGGGGTGGGCAGTCTCCCTTCCCCCAGCAAGAAAACAGCCTAGATCTGGCCAGCCTGGCCAGCCCTGAGGAAGTGGGAATTACACTTCCCATGGGCCCAGCACCGCAAGCCTGCACTTGGGGTCTGCCTCCTCTGTGGTGGGGTGCCGGGAGCCTCCCTGGCAAGGGAAGAGTGGTGGAGCTTGGGAACCTGGGGTGGGGGGGTAGGGATTTGCCCAGATGGAGACGGGATGAGTTGCTGGCATCTGCCCCCTGCTGTGAGGGGCCAGGGACAGGGCAGCCCCTGGGGGGGACAGGGGGCTAACACCCCCCTGCGTCCTAGGTGCCTCACCAGACAGCGGTACTCCTCAAGTCCAGAGTGTGAGCCGGCGGCCATCAGGCCCCTCGTTTGGAAGGTAAGGGGCAGTCACTTGGGCAACCCCGGGCCTTGCCTTCCTCAGGCCCTCCGCTGATGCGGGGTCGGCACCTGGGTCTGGGAGGCGGAGGTCTGTGATTTCCTTGGTTTGTGGGACACTGGGTGTGGACGTGCCCAAGGTATGCAGCCAGTACGGTCCAAGGCAGGGCTTGAACCTAAGGCTTCTGCCGGTCGGCCCCTTGCCAGTAGGGTCTCTGCGTTCAGTTTGTTGGTATGAGCACCCTAGGAGATCTTGCTGGGTACACGCAGTAGGTGCTCCGTAAGTGCTGGCCAAGTTAAGTTGATGGCCTTGAGAGGCACCAGGGGCTTTCTCGACCTCCCCCTCCCCTCCCCCTCTCTGGTGGGGGTCTGGAAGTCTCCGCAGTAATCTGGCCTGAGGATGGGGATTAACACACCAGGGGGCCTGCTTTGGTGAGACCCCAGATTCAGCTACAGCCTGTGGGCTGTAACCCAGGCCCCCTGACCGCCAGGGCCTCTAGGGCAGCTTCCTGGCGGAATGTCCCCATGGGAGGACCCTTACTGGGCCAGCCTCGGCCTGAGAAGTGGGCCCTCTTCTGTTCCAGCGCTGCCCTGTGCGGCACCCCTGCCCAGTGCTCCTCAGGGGGAGCTGCGCATCCCCCTGGCAGCAGTACCCACACCCCCCTGAGTGTCCGGCGCCTGTCAGCCCTGCCTACACCATCCAGGCGCCAAGCGTCAGCCCTTCCGTCATGGCCAACGCCCAGAAGTGGCTTGAGAGCCACCTCCCTGCCTCAGCTGGTGGCTGCCCAGCCCCCCTCGCAGGCGTCCCCCAAGAAGGCCAGAGGCAGGTAAGATGAGAAGGCCTAGAGGAAAGTGCTGTGCAGGCCCCTCCACTGATCTGTCCCCAGCCAGGCCATCTGCTCCGATACCTCTGCTGCAGGGCCCCTCATTGACCCGTCCCCAGCCAGGCCTCTGCTGACACCCCCTTCCCCTCCCAGCTCTCCAGGGGGGCCACCTCTGTCTTGAGTCCCCTTCCATTCCTGAAGGGTGGCTGCTCCTGCAGGGTCTCTCTGCCCTTTGGGTATCTCAGTTGCTCTCTGTGGGACAAGCACCGACCCATAGCTCCTCTGCCTGCAGCGGTCCATGCAGCCTCCTTGCCCAGGGGTCCTGGCCCGTGAAGGCGCCATCTCGCCGGCCTTCCAGGTTCAGAACCCCCATGCAGGCCTGGCTGGAGGGATGACTGGGGTCCTGGCCCCTGAGCGAGGCAGGACCAGCCCTGCCAGCCTCTGCTGGAATGCCTCTGGGGACCAGGAGCTCCTTCCCTCCCGCCCTCTCGGGCAGCCTGTCCTGGTCCCAAGCATCAGATCTCCGTGGCAATGGGCAGCCCTGAGGGTGGAAGAGCCTGTGCTCAGTCAGGGTGGGCTCTTTCCTTTCCTAGGCCCGAGCAAGCCCAGGAGACAAGCAGGCCAGGGGCTCCTTGCCCGTCTGACCCCCCTCTGGGGGTGCCTTTGGCCCTCAACTTTGCCTCTCCTGAGCAGACGGTCCCCGGGACTCCCGGGAAGGAGGCCAAGGAGCAGCCGAGGACAAAGCCAGCCCCTCCAGAGGTACCCCTTGTTGTGGGAGGGGTGCATTTCCTGTGGTGGGACGGGGTGATTTGGCAGTGACCCTGGACCTCTGGTCTTTGTGAGGCCTCCCAAGTGTGCTGAATCCATCCCCCAAATCAGAAGCTGCCCAGTGGACAGTCAAGGGGCAGAGGGCGCAGGTCAGACTGGTTCTCCACCACACTGACCACAGACATGCCCCTGGGGTCAGGATGATGAGGCTGGGAGCCTTGGGCCGCAGCTGCTGGTCCCTGTCCCCACCTCACAAGAAAGCTGCTCTAGAGGCACCCCCCACCCCGAGTCCTGTGGGAGCCAGCCTGGATGCCTCTTCCCTGCTGTGTCCTTGGCCTTTCCCTGGAGTGAGTCCTGTGGGAGCCGGCCTTCACGCCCCTTTCCTGCTGTGTCCTTGGCCTCCTCCTGAGGCTGCAGAGAGAGGATGGGGCTCCAAGTTTCAGAGCCAATGCCCTCAACGGGGCCAGACTCTCCTGTGGGCTGAGTGGACATTGGAACCCAAGTGACTGTTGCCCCCTCTCCTAGGCCGTGCTCATCCATGTTGGCCCCAACACTCGCACCTCTGTCCCAGCAATGCCAAAACTGCCTCTCCGTAGCCAGCCGCTCATCGACTTCTCCAACAGCCCCGAAGCGGACCCGCGATGGCTCCCTCTGAAACCAGCCAAGGCCTCGGCCAGTGAAGGCCAGCTTCTCATCGACCTGTTTCACTCTCCGGAAGTAGCCAAAAGTGTCCCATCCAAACCTCTACCAGCCACGGGGCAGGTGAGGATGAGGGATCACTCTCCTGTTCCAGGGAGGGCCCCGTGGGGTGTGTGGTCAGGTTGAAAGGGGCCACATTGCACATGCTCATCTATCCTGTGAAGGCGGGCTCATCTCATCTGACCCCTCAGGCCCCATCATCTGTTCATTGGTATAGGTGGGTGGGAGGTGCCTCATGTCCCAGACCGTGAGCCCCCTGGCACCAGGTCTGCGTCATCATGAGTGTTCCCAGGATGAGGCGCTTCTGTCAGAGCTTCAGGAGAGAAGGGCCTGGCATAGTCATCCCTTCTGTCACCAGCCGGCCACTGAGCATCTCTGACCGCAGCAGACACTGCCGTCCCTGGGGGCTTCTGTGGTGGTGGGAGCGGTGCTGCCCTTGAGGGAGGCCCCTGGGTCGGGCCATAGTCGGCCCAGACCTGCCCTGCAAGCCGGGCCCCCAGTGAGGCCGAGAGTGGGCCAGCCCCAGCATCATCCTGTACGATGTTTTCTTTCAGCTGATAGACCTGAGCTCTCCACTCATCAGCCTGAGCCCTGTGGAGGACAAGGAAAACCTGGATTCTCCACTCCTCAAGTTTTAGGTGGGCACCAAACCTGCCAGGCAGCCACCAGCCTGAGACCCGGACGCATATGCCGTGTGCCCAAGCCCAGGGCCCGGGAGGGCTGCGCCAGTGAACAAAAAATGTGTAACTTATAAGGACAAATTAAGAAACTTTGGGGTTTTTTATGTCAATTTTTATCAAGTTTGTTTAAAAAGTCCAACAGAGATTAAATAAAACTCGGTGAACCTGTGGTTTTCCTTTCTTGACTGCCAAGTGGACAAGGCACCAGAGCCCTAACACCACGGGCCGCATTAGTGTAGAGAACAGCCTCTAGAAGCAGGGCCTGGAGGAAGGGCACAGGCCGGGGGGCCCCATGACACAGCCAGCTCTGGAGCCAGGAAGAGCCTAGTGCACATACCTCCTTAGCTGTGGCCTGGCTGGCAGACCCTGCCCCAGTCCCCACCCTCTGAGCCCAGGCAGCTCCAAAGAAGGTCCTCACTTGTACTGGGAGGCAGGCGTCTGCCCAGGGAGGGGTTCCCAGAGCAGAGGCCCAGATTTGAGGAGGCAAGGAAGGCATTCCCCTTTGAGCTCAAGTGAAGCAACAGGAAAGGCCCCCGCCCCAGGGAGCCCTGCCTGCAGCCCAGCTTTGACCTGCTTAGGCCCCCTCCAGTTGCACCATCCTCAGCCCCATCCCACATCTCTGGTCTGTGCCTGGCTTTCTTTGCTGGGACTTTGCAGCCTCCCCAGGGCAGGCCCACACTGGACGGGCACCCGGCCCAGGCAGGGCAGGCTGAAGGAGGGCTGCAGGGGGCCAGCCCACCTGATGCTGGAGCCTGCTCTCCACTTCTGAAAATTCTCATTTTTGAGCAAACTCAGATGTTTTGTTTCCTTTGCATCTCCCAGCTTCCAGGGAAAAGAAAAACCACTTTCCTTCTGACCACTCTGGGCTACCCCCGCCCCAGCCGAGGTCTCTCTTCTTGTGGCCCTGGGCCCCTCGGAGCGTGACGGTGGGCCATCCTCATGGTGACCACCCTTCCCCACCGACTTTCCTGGCTGACCATCACTGACCCCAGGGCCCACTCGGCAGCGTGGATGGCGCCTTTCCCACGCTGTTTGCCCTCCGCTGGGCGCTCCTGTGGCCTTGTCAGATGTCTTCAGAGGTCAGAGACCGCCCCACAGGGAGGAGCAGACGTCAGGTTCCAGGCCACCCACCCCTCACTGGCAGCCCCAGAGGGAGACCTGGGCGCAGTCGGGATAACAGCTGGTGCCCTTCCCTTTCCATAGTGTGACAGGAGGGGATTGAGAGGCAGGCCCCATCCTTGCCCAAGGTCACCCCCTCAGGAGCCAACATCTGAGGAGTGACTCGCACCCGGTACCCTTTGGGCGGCAGGCCTCATGAAGGCCTCCTCCACACTGGAAAAGGAAGCAGGAGGGGAAGGAAGGTCTGTTGTCCAGAGACCTGCTGTTGGAGGGGCCCAGACCGATGTCCTTACCCCCTCTCCCCCCACCATGGTGATGGTTTTGTGAGGTGGGGGCAGACCTGGCCTGCATCAGAGGCAGGATTTGGTACCGCGGGGAAGCCCAGGCCTTCTGAAGGACTCTTTAACCTGCGGGCTTAATTCTGTGGCAGAAAAATCCTTCACAGTCCTGTTGTCTCCCACCATGGTGCCTTTGCCAGGCTGAGCCCCATGCCTGCAGTGCCCTCCCTCCTTCCCTACATCAGGGCCCCTCAAGATTACTTGGTATTTATTCTGCATCCTCTGGGCACGTTATGTCCCCCGAGGAACACGTCCCAGCTAGGCTTGCTTCTGCCTATCACTGCCTGCAGGGCACACAGTTGGTGCTGGATAAATGCTTGTTGGACTGAATGCAGTCAGTGGACTCCTGCCAGCGGAGTGGAAATGCAGGCAGCTCCAGAGGCCCAAGCCCTCTACTTGGGCAGGCTGGCCTGCTCAGCTTGGACCCCAAGGGTCTTGGGGCTCTTCACCCTTCGGAGATGCCTCTGCCCTCTCTGGGATCCTGCCCCTGGGCACTGGCTCCACATCAGGATGATGGGAGGAGGAACAGGCTATGAGCCTGCAGAAGAAGAGCCAGGGGGCCATAGAGCTGGCGACAGCCTCGGGCCTTGTCCATAGACAGGACGAGCCTACAGGCAGTGTCAGGCAGGATCTGAACCCAGGGCCTCGGAATCACACAGTCAGGCATGACCTCGTCCCTCGGCCCCTGAGGCCTCCAAACAATCAAGCCAATGTGCGAGCATGGGGTATGAAAAGCTAAAAAAAAGATACAGACACAGTCCTGGTCCTCCCTCCTTCCTTTACTCCTCGGCCTGGCTGCGCCCCCTGGTGGGCGGAGACAGTGGCAGGTGGGAATGTGGGAAGGGTTAGAAGCGCAGAAGAGGCCCCGCCTCCGCGTAGCCCTCTGCTCTCCAGGCCCCGCTCCTGCTCAGCGTCCTCCAGGCCCCGCCCCCAGCGCAGTCTTCCAGGCCCCGCCTCCGCGTAGCCCTCTGCTCTCCAGGCCCCGCTCCTGCTCAGCGTCCTCCAGGCCCCGCCCCCAGCGCAGTCTTCCAGGCCCCGCCTCCGCGTAGCCCTCTGCTCTCCAGGCCCCGCTCCTGCTCAGGGTCCTCTAGGCTCCGCCCCACGTAGCCTTCAGTCCTCCAGGCCCCACCCCGCGTAGCCCTTAGTCCTCCAGGCCCTGCCCCCAGCGCCGCCGACGCTCAGCCTCTTCCTCCCAAGGCCCCGCCCCTCTCCTCAACAGGCAAAGGCGGCCCTTCCGTCCCTGAGAGTTTGGGGGTACTTCCGGCGCAGCAGGTCGCACTTCCGGTCGGAGGCATGGCAGCGGCTGCCGGCGTCGGGGTCGCACGGGGCGTGTGGCGTGTGCTGTGTCCGGGGGCGTGGACAGCGCCGTGGCTGCGCTCCTGCTGCGCCGCCGAGGTGAGCAAAGGCGCGGAGGTGGGACCGGCAGGGGGCGGCGAGGCCCCCAGCCCCAGGTCTCAGGTTCGTAGGTGTCATTCGGCAGGCATCCATTTAGCACCTACTGTGTGCCGGGCCCTGTGCAGCGGGGCCTGGGACAGCAACAGCCTCTCCCCCCAACCCTGCCCCCTGCGGACCTCCGCCTCTTTTTCCGTCAGGTGACGGGTGTGTTATCTTACGCCTTTGATGCGGAGAAGCTCCCGAGGCCGAGGATGGGGCCTGGCGCTTGACCCTCCCTTGCTCCCTCTCAGGCTACGACGTCACGGGCGTGTTTATGAGGAACTGGGACTCGCTGGACGAGCGCGGCGCGTGCTTCGCGGACAGGGACTGTGAGGACGCGGCCCAAGTGTGCCGCGTGCTGGACGTCCCCTTCCGCCAGGTGTCCTTCGTCAAGGAGTATTGGCACGACGTGTTCACGTGAGCCTGGGCGGACGGGTCAGCCTGGCCAGGCCCCCGGGGCCCCGGTCCGGCCGATTGTGGGGACCCCGAGGTTGGGGCACACCGGCCCTCAGCCCCCTCCCCAGCGCTCCCCAGATCCAGGCCCTGCCCGGCATCCCCCCCCCCCCGGCAGCAGTCCCTCCACTAGCAGCTTGGGCAGGGAGGGACCCATTGTTACAGGTGAGGAAACTAAGTCCCAGAGACGTTCCGTCCCCTGTTCAGAGTCACACAGGGCACAAGGAAGCACAAAGCCGGCGTTCCACCCAGAGACCCATCAGGGCCGCTTCTTCCGGGAAGCCCACCCGGACCCTGCATCTCCCTCCCATTCTCCCGGTCAGCGGTCACATCTTCCCGTTGGCTCGTGGCCCCCGAGGGCCCAGGGGGGAGACTTGGGCATCTACACCCAGTTCCCTTTGACCTTGCATTAGGCACCTGGATGGTGTCGCGGGGCCTGGAGTAGAGCAGAGCTCATGCACGGTGTCAGAAGCGGTATTGTCGGGCAGGACGCCCATATGCACACACTGTGTCTGCACATAGGTGTGAGCATGCATGATGTGTGTGTACGTGGGTGCGTGCGTGTGTGTATATCGTGTGCCTGTGCGTGCATGCATTGTGTCCGCACATAGGTGTGAGTGTACATAATGTGTGTACCTGTGTGTGTGTGAGGGCGCACGTGTGTGTGCATATTGTGTGAATGTGCCTGAATGCATTATGTCCGCACGTAGGTGTGAGTGTGCATAATGTGTGTATCTGTGTGCGTGTGAGGGCGCACGTGTGTGTATATTGTGTGAATGTGCATGCATGCACTGTGTCCTCACATAGGTGTGAGCGTGCATAATGTGTGTGTGCGCACACTGTGTGCGTGTGAGGGCGCACGTGTGTGTGTGCTGGGTGGTGAATGTGTGTGTGTCCCCGTGCGCTGAGGAGAGGTCCTGGGGCTGGGAGCAGGGAGTGGAGGGGCTCGGGCCACTGTGAGCCCCCATACCCTTTCTGCATTCTGAGGGAGTGGGGCCCTTAGTATCTCTGTGCTTGGGGACTGTGCTTCCAGGCAGGTCCTTCTACCTCTGCTGCCTCAGTTTCCTCATCTGTCAAATGGGGATCCCTGCAGTGCCTGTTCCCCGGGGGTGGGGAAGGTCCAAGGGGGTCGCCTTTGTCAGGTGCCCGGCACACAGTTGGCACTCTGTCACTGCTGGAGGGTTGGGAGGAAGGGAGGCTACAGGTGGTCATCTCAGGCCAGGAAGGGATGGGGCTGGTGTGAAGACATGGACCCCCCAGTGCTCCCCCCAGAAGTGAGGTCCCCTCAGCTCCGTGGCCCTACCCTTCACCCCTGGCACTGCAGCCATGCCCCGGCCCCCCTTTGTGGCAGGCTGGTGGCCGGGGGCTCGGCTCCCTGACGGATGGGGTGGGCTGCGTCTCCATTGGGCGTCGGTGGCCATGCAGAAACACCTACTGTGTGCCTTTTCCTCCCTGCGGGCCTGGAGGGGCAGACCAGGTGGTCCCTGGCCTCTCAGAGCTCATGTGCTGATGAGGACACACCCCAGGGGCCCCGCTGCTGGGGGCCTTGGACCAGTCTGGGCTTGAGTCAGGGGGTGGGGCAGACACGGTGACCACTCCCATTCTCTCCCCTGGCCCCGCCTCAAGATGACCCGAGCTCTCTGGCCTGTCTGGCTGCAGGGACTTCCTGAACGAGTATGAGAAAGGGCGGACCCCGAACCCCGACATTCTGTGCAACAAACACGTCAAGTTCAAGGCTTTCTTCCGCTATGCTGTGGACCACCTGGGTCAGTCTGGGGGTGTATATGTGTGCAAGGGTGCGTGTGTGGGCACGTACATGTGAGCC